CTATGCATCGAGATGACGCCTGCCATGATGGTTCACATGCACCGGCCGCGCCCATACAAAATTCAACAGCATTCAAGCCGCATATCGCAACTATTACGAAGTAAGTTTCAGCCGCATTTGTGCAACCGTATCTGCACAGATTTCGATGCAAGGCAGCAGCCCAAGATAACAGCTGTCGCCTGACCTGCACTTTTGCAGCATGGGAGGGCGCCGCTGATGGTCGCAACTGAAAGCGGGAATGACGACGTTGCTGCGCTTCTGGAGGGCTAAATCTCCTGCCCAAGTAGACCCAGTTCCCTCGGTGCCCGACGAAGATCCAGCGAGGAGCACGCATGTAGAAACTTTTGCTATTTCGTACATCGTCTCATCGTACTTAGGACCTACATTGTTAGGATTTTCGGACTGCTTTGGTCTTTTCGATCTTCTTTCATCGATATCGGAATTTCAGTTGGTGGCACGGTCGTTGCTTCCACAATTTCATGTGATGCTTTGGGATTGCCTGACTCCAAACTGACACATTGATCATGCATAAACATTGCGTTCGCTCGGGGATGCTCTGCTATTTGGCTGTTAAGTTTTTCTGGAAATGCCGTCATTAAGGCGCAAGGGGGATCTCAGCTTCTCCGCAGTTTCTGGCCATTCGGCAAGTCGCAAGGCAATTAAGGAAATGTATTGAGGCAATGTTTTGAGGACCTTGACGCCCTTGGGGTGTCCGAGCGCACGCAGGACTTGAAGGGCTGTCGTCGCGTCTGGACGGCGAGCGGGAGGCGTCCGCGATCGATTGGGAGGTGCGTCCGGGATCGCGGGAGCGAAGGGGGCGGCGGGATGTGAGGGGGGGGAGGGCTGGAGGTCAAGGGGGGGAGTTGTGCTGGGTGTCGAGTGCGCGGGGACGTGCTCTGTTGGGGTCTGCCCTGGCGGGCATTGGGATTTGAGGGGTGTGGGCGTAGTGAATGGCCATGCGGGTGGTCCGAAGATCGGGGCCGGTGATCGGGAGGGGGCCCGCGGACGATGGTGGGGGTGCCAGAGGGCGAGTGGTGGTGGTCGTACAATGTACGTGTGCAGAACCTGCTCCAGTACTTGGTGCTTATTACATTACGAAGCACGCAGTATTTATTACTTGGTCACATGCACACCTTCCCTAATGGTTGCCATGGGATCACACTACTTGGAGCCGCAGCACCAACCCATTCTGCTGACCAAATACACTGACCAGAGCACCTGAGCCTTGGCTTGAAAATTGTGGGATCAGCTGTGTGAGACGTAAACTTTATTGCATGTTGCATTGCACCTTCCCCCCTGCCCTTTACATTATGTTGTGTGGAACATGAACATGGTTGCAGGATCACAATCTTGGGGGGCCATCAGGGAAAGGTGTCTGTTGAAACAGGCTACATAAATCCCCGTTGGGGTAATAGTTGTTCGAATCTCATTTGCTGTGATGCCATAGGTGATCGCCTCTCTTGCATGGATGGCCTTGTTGAAGACACGGTAGCCCTCAGGGAAATCACCACAACTAACTTGGGAAAGAAAACCACACCTATCCAATGATTATGTTTGGAACTGTGTCGCATCTTGTATTGACAAAGCTCTACAGTTCATTGGTGTCAAGTGCATCGAGGTGGGAGGTCTCAAAACAGAAAGTGTCGACTTGACTGGTAGGTTGATGATTTGCCTTCCTGGGAGGCATGTGAGCAACCAGCATGTGCACCACCGTCGGCTTTTGTGGCCTTCATCAGAAGTGTTTTTGAATACAATGTTATCCATATTGATTCGTTTGTGGTTTGCAGTTGTCAATGCTGGGAATGCGCTTGGCAAGCATGCAGGGTTTTGCCCATCTTTAAATGAGTTTGTACCCCAGAATGGTAAAGAAGGAAAATCCATTCAACTCTTTGTGGGAAAGCACGTCTGTGGCACGCCCTTTTGAATTGCAAAGAGGATCGCACATGTCATGCAACTTTCCACATTGTTCGCATTGAAGTTCCGATTGCCAGCTCTAACATGAACGCCTGTCCAAAGATGCCGGTTGAGTGATGACTCAAACCGCTCCTTGGAGTGGTCATGGCAAGCGTAAGCTCTGCATTCATCATAAGTTCCGTTCCACACGGATCTCGAGCTCTTGCAAGCCTCACGGCATGAGGAAACGATGACGGCACATGACACGATGAGCTTTCTTCTTCTTTTGACAGACACTCGCCAGCCTTTTTATGTCCCTAGGACACATCGTTAACAAACGTCGTTAACAAACGTCCATACAGCAATTCAGTCGTCTGCCAACTCACTACTGAAGCACAACCGAAGTGTTACTTTTACTGTATGTTTTGAAAACATACCTATACGGACGTGCTGTGACCCGAACAATTACCACAGACGTCCTTTCGCTCAGCAACCGGTACTAGGCGTGGCCTGCCAGAACACATGCCCTTCACCAACACCAAAAAGAGAGCGGCGATGCGAAGAGAAACGACTGGTTCTCAACTCCGCCCCTCCGCTCGGATCACTGCATTCCCGGCTGGTCACGTCATCAATATGGTCGTTCGCACGAGTGCTAAGTAGCGATTGGCAAGATCCAAAAAAGCTCGCGAATCAGAGTGGAGGACAATAGAGCGATCAAAACACTGAAAAGCTGAAGAAACGCATATCCACAACTTCCCATCAGCAAGCCGGGAAGTTCCAAGCACGATTCCTTGCAGTCAAGACGCACCAACCAAGGCAGTTTTTCCTGCAACCTGAAGATTTTTCACAAAACTCAAGGGGCACTGCTCGGAACGCCAATTATAGCTAATGTAAACAGTATCTAGAAGATTACGACAATCGCCCCGTGTAGTCCAGAATACAGTGGATAGATTGGACATGATGGGAAAGACACTCCACGTTGCCAAATCAAGTCAAAGGATCCAACGTTCTATCAGACAAGCAACTGCAGGAATACCCACGATTTATTCATAATTTTGGCAGTTGCTGCTAATGTCTCGTCCGCTCAGAGGTGAGCGCACTGCCTGGAGGCCACGCTGCACGAGGTTAGGGAATCGATGCAGTCAGGGCAAGGTAACAAAGGATGGTGCTGGTACTGGCCAGGACCCATGGGTGGACACGGCTGCTACCACCTGGGCGAGTAAAGTCAACTCCCCCGGCTGGGGATACTGTCCCAACGTGGCTGTTATCCCGTCATGGGAGACTCTCCAGGCATGCCCGCCCATGGCACAGAAGAGGCTTGGTGGGGCCAACGCCAAAAGGAGAGTATCGTCATAGTTCACAACACGGGTAACAATACAATATTGTCAGGCGCACTGCCGTGTTTCAGTGGTGTGAAATTCCCAATGTCCCGCCCGACCTGCCCCACCCTTGCTCATCATTCTGCTACCCTGTCCGCCTCAGGTTGAATTAGTGGGCGTCAGAGCCCAATGAATTACGACCTTGCGCATTACTGGTTCCCACCCAGCTATCCACAATCCTGGAATATATATCCTCACATCCCACAAGTATCCTTGCCCAATGTTCTGCACGGCATTACCCGTCCCCGTACGCACATCCTCTTCTTGGCATATCCTCCGCCTTTTGAATGTTGTCTTGATGATGGTATCTGCCGGCTTCCTGGTTCCCTTGGTTTGTTTGGTTGCGGCGATTACACGTCGAGGGCGACGATCCATGTGTGTTGGGTGCGAATGATATGGCAGTGACTGGTCCATCATGGAGAGATGGTTGTATGGCTATAAAGGGACATGCCTGTCCGTGACCTATCTGTAACTCTATTCGGGGCCAGAATAGCTCCGCTCGAGACCGAATAGCTCCCCAGAATAGCACCGGTGCTATTCGCGCAGAACATTGTAGTGCTGCAGTGATGATGTTCGGCGTCGTCATAGCACCCACCATTGCGGATGCGTGCAGGGGAGCAATAGCACCGGTGCTATTCGGCAAATGCCGCCTTAGTAAGGTGGCACGGCAGCCAATGAAAACCTTTCCTATATAACTCCGCCGGTGCAATAGCACCGACTGATAAAGATGCTCTAACCTATCTGTACCCTCAGCTGTGTGTGTCCCCAAGCCCGTGGCTTGTGCCTGCCTCCTATGTAGTCCCACTCCGAACCTGGCGTAGCAGGGCCAAATGCATCGGGGACTCCCAGATGGACGCCACAAACAACCCCTCTAGTTGCCATCCAGGCACACACTAGTCGACCGTAGCCGGTACAGTAGTCCGGAATCTTGCAGGGAACGGGAAATCCACGCTCGTGCAGCGATCCATGGCGCCCATGACACGGAGCCAGAGGGAAGCACCAGTGGTGCCCTCACTTCATGGGAGGCCTGCACCCTCCACAGTTCCCAACCCCCCCGGGGCAGCGACAACGCAGCTCCACCGCGCTGTCGCCACTGTCAGTATCTCGGACAGGGCGTTGCAGCAGCCTTCAGGCCTGCGCTTCCGCGGGGATCGGCGCGATTGCCCTGTACCTCGCGGCCCCGTGTTCGACGGCACCTGAGGCGCCGAGCGCGGCTGCGTCCTGGATTCGCCCTGGGCCGATCCGCCGGTCAGGGCGACACACGGCACTAGACAGCCGCCACAGGGCATCCCGTTTAGCGGGATAGGCAACTAAGTTCGGGAGTTCAACTGGCTGTCGGGAAAGTGAGTGGGATGCGCCTGGCAGTGGGAGCCGCCTACCCGTGGGGATGCGGGTCAGTCGATCGGCTTTGTGTCCACAAAAAGGGAGACATGTTCATCCAATGCCGATCGCTGGCAGCCCGTCTGTTTCTCGCGCAGTTCCCGTCTGCCGGTCCACGCCACGAGGAAGACTTCGCGGCAGCACTGTTTCCGAGTTTGGGGTCGCGCGGCATGGCTTTGCTCTTTTGTTCCGCATTCGGACAAATTGACCTCGCATGGATGTTGCGGGTGAGCAAGTGACAACCATCGATGCGATTGCCCTGGCAGTTTCAGGTAGGAATCCGTTTTGGTAGGCCACCGCAGAAAGATGCTTTCATGGCATTTCGTTGCTCCCTGCGCAGGGCGAGCCATGGCTGGCGAGGTCATTGGGCTCATCGACATCGCCGTCAACTGGGGCAAGGAGATAAAGGCTACGGTGGACGCCGCGAAGCACAACAAAGATGCCTGCAGGGACATTGGGGTGCGCGTCGCGCTGCTGGCGGAGCTGGTCGAAAGCCAGAAAAAGAAGCCCGAGCGCGAGTTGGAAAGGCTGAAGGCGTCGGTTCTGCGCGTGTCGGAGGACCTCGAAAAGGCAAAAGATTTTCTCAAGATGTACAACAGTGCGAGCTGGCTGAGGCGCCACGCCTTTGCAAAGGACTACAAAGATGGGTTTTCAGCTGTGGGGGAAGCCCTGAGCATTTCGCGTTCAGGTATGCGCTTTTGCTGCCTCTTTGCTGCTGAATTGGACGCCGTACGGCTATATCGCGCAGATGCTGATGCCCCCCTGCACCTACAGACATGCAGATGACACAGGGAACTGTGCACTCTTTAGAAAGCGTTTCTGATGGGGTTCGGCATGGTTCTGGCGGAAAGAACTGGGGTTGTGGCTTCACGCATTGTCCACTCGCAGTTTCCTATTTGGTGCCTAGTTTGACTGATTACTTGTCGTTGCAGACTTTGCTGCTGTGGTGGATTCTCTTGTGCTAGAGAAGGTCAATGACCTCACTGCAGCAAACACAGCCATGCAAGAGAAGTTTGACGCTGTGTTGGCAAGAGTGAGGAGCCACAAGGAGAGTGCAGACATCAGAACATTGGAGATCTGTGAACGGCCAGGCCTTCCTGAAAGTGCGACTGCGCTGAAGCCCAGAGTGGATGCCATCAAAAAGATGGTGTTTGAGCCGGGCTCAAACCCCACAGCTCTGGTTGGCATGGGTGGCGTTGGTGAGCTTGTACACAATTCATCAGAATCAGAGGCTGTACTGTTCAAAAGATGTTTGCAGGACCCCTGTTTTCAGAGTTTTGCAATCACCATTGTGGGCCACAATTCCAGTTGCCAGTTGGTGGAACGTTTGTTGAATGCATGATTCCAAATATTGGTACGTCAACGTCCCCAAGGATATTTGTACCACCACAATCATATGGTGGCACTTGTGTGTTTCAGCGCTCTGCATTTGCAAGTACTTGATTTGAAATGCAAGCCATGGTAGTGACTGATGGTGGTGTGCTAGAGTTATCAGTGGACATGCTTGCTCGTTAATAATGAGGAAGCAGTTGTAAACTCCTTATACAGTTTTGTTTTCTGTGTGTCATTTTAATTCCTTCTGTGCAATTAATGTGGAGCGGACAGATATTTGGGTGTCTGATGTGCTTGTGCCATCAGGTAAAACTACCCTCGCTGCCGCCTTGTGCGCGGCAGTGGCAGATGATTTCGATCACATTGTGTGGATCAATGTGGGGCAACGTCTTGAGGAATCGGACATCCTGGCGCGCCTACAACAACTGTGGAAAGATGTCGTGAAGTCAGATCCACCGCACAAGAGCATCGAGGGCATGCGCATTGCGCTATTGAAGGAACTGGAGAGCAAGAAGGCTCTGATTGTCTTTGACAATGTGTGGAAGTTTGATGACATCAAGAGATTGTTGGTTGTCGGCGACCAGGGCAAGGTGCTGTTTACAACAAGAGATTCAACGATTGCAAGGCGGGTCCATGCAAGAGAATACAGGGTGAAGGAGATGGAGGAGGAGCAGGCAGTGGAGCTCTTCTGCCGTTGCGCATTCCAATGCCCTTCAATCCCAGATGACAAGGAGGTGTACCGGCATTGTGTGGAGGCAATGGTTGCCGAATGCGGAGGGCTGCCTCTGGCACTCAATGTGGTGGGTTCATTGGCGGCTGGCTACTTGGTGTTGGAGGAATGGCAAGAAGGTTTGACCAAGCTCAGGAAGTCCACTGGGATGTGCACTGAGTACGACAAGAAGGTTTTAGCCCTGCTGAGGATGAGCTTTGACGGCCTTGAGGATGATGAGCAGGATCTATTTCTGTGCCTGGCAGGAAATCCTGAGGGTTACCATGTCAGTGTCTCTGACTTGGTGGAGCAGTGGGTGCTGCAAAAATATGATATGGACAGGGAGGAAGTGGATTCTGATGAGGAAGCACACATTGATGAGCACTTGACGCTCGGCTACAAATTGTACATGCATCTGGTGCACCGTTCACTGGTCATTCATGACCCCTCTGGCATTGTTGGTCTTCAAGGAGAGACAGATGAGGCGTTGATGTTGTCCATGATGGGATTTCAGGAGACCGAAGTGCGGACAGCATCCTGCCATCTACATGACCTGATTCGAGAGATGGCCCTGATGGTGACAAGCGAGGGAGACATCACAAATCGGCAGCGATTGTTTTCTTGGACCTCAAAGAGCCTACAGGCTACCACTGCAATGGCGGTGGAGCTGTCGACCTGTTCTACCTCAGCAACCGGCCTATTGCCAGGAGATGTTCGCCTGCCAAAGCTCCGGTCATTTGTTTCAAGGGCCTCAAGGTTGCAAGCTTTTCCTGAGGCAATCCTACTCTCTGATCTCAGGGTTCTTGATGCATCTTTCGCCAACCTGCAATCGCTGCCACAGGGGCTCTCGCGCCTCCAAGGACTGCAACTACTGAGATTGGACGGCAACACGATTGAAACGCTGCCCCAAGAAATCGGCCATCTGAAGCACTTGGTTGTATTGTCACTGCGTCTGTGCAAGATGCTGACAGCTCTGCCAAGCGGAATTGGAGAGTTGGGGAACCTGTCTGGCTTGCATGTTGGTGGTTGTGCACTCCAGCACCTGCCAGATTCAGTAGGGAACCTGCACAGTTTGAAGAAGCTTGACCTCAGCTTCTGCTCTGACTTGAAAGAGCTGCCTGTTACATTGGAATCTGCCAGCGAGCTGGAATGCTTGAATGTGAATGGCTGTGGGCAGCTGGCATCCCTTCCACTGCGATTGGGGTCTCTTCTTAAGCTCAGAGTGATCCTTGCAGTGGGATGCACCATGCTGACAGAAATGCCAAAGAAGTGGCCAGACAGTTTGGAGGTTTTAGATTTGCAGGGATGTGAAAATGTGAAGGAAATACCTGATGCAACGGATCTTCAACAGTTGCGAATATTGCATTTGTATGGTTGCTTTGGGCTTGAGAGCTTTCCCAGCTCAGGAATGCCTAGCCTGCAGTCGTTGGGATTGCCTCTGGTTGACATCTTTGAGCTAGAATCAAAGAGAGCCGAACACAAAGAGGTTGCTAAGCAGCTCAGGACACGCTTGGACCTGGACGATGGGGTGTACTACTTGGTGAAGGGCAAGTTCACTCCGAGTTTTCACAGATGGCTGCAAGGAACTTCCATGCTGAAACTCCAACCGCAGGGAGTACAGTACTCGTACATCAAAATGAAGGTATGTGTTTGCAACTCATTTTGCATGCACACAGTTGCTTTGTTCCCTTTGAACAGCACAGTGTGGAGGCAACTAGCCCAGCTGACAATAATTGTCTCAACATCCATGCAATTCTGTGGCCAGGGAATCGTAGTGTCGACCTTCCAGTGAATGGTCTGTAACGGTGTTTGTTGGCAGTTGCAGGTGTCGCAAGATATCTCTTGTGTCAAGATGTGTTTTAATGTAAAATTCGCTGGTGCCCGCATTTGATGCAAAATCAGTGAAACACTTATGTGGTTTGTGCAGGATGCATGGACTCCACTGACTCGTGCTGCCTACAATGGGCAGACCTCTATTGTGGAGTCGTTGCTTGAGAAGGGTGCTGATGGGAATGCACCAGATAAGGTGTGTTTTTGTCTTCTCCTTGAGCCATGCAGCAATGCTTAGGGAAGCTCTGTACGTGTTTGCTGCGTTTAACGATGCCAGATCCTAAGCCTGGTTGTCAGTGACCTTGGTATGGGTCTGTTTCCGCCGTGGGCTGGAGGCTGCCGTTACTATGAAGCCAACAGCACAGGGATTGCACTGCAAAAGTGCTAATCTAGCTTCTTGAAAAAACGGGTTCTCCGCCACAATCGAGTGACCTGTGCCCCATGTTGCTGCGAAGATAGCAACTTGTCCGTCGTTGACGGATGTTCCTCAGTGGGCAACACTGTGGGGTTGGTGGCAAGGGGTCTGCTATGACTCTGGCCCACCACGGTTCGACCCTGCGCGTGATGTCGCGATAAGTGCTTAGTCGGCCCAGCTCGACTGCTACTTGCACCTGGCCTTCGCATGTGAGGCAAGCTGGGGCGGCTGGCAACGCCGCTACCGTGGCTTGTGAAAGGCCTACATTGCAGGACCCTTGACCTTGTGGGACGCAGCAGTAGACAACCTTGGTGTGTAGCAACGGCGGTGTCGTCGATCACAGCAGGCTCCATTGCAACACTCGCCAAGGCAAATGGGGCTGCGTCCCCATGGACAATGAGCTCGCTGCACGTTCAACGTCTGTTGACCATCGGTTGATCCCCCCATTGGTGCCAGATCACAATGGTTGCACATCAGCCTTCTTTCTGCCGCCTGTGTGTTCAGAGCCTGTGAGTTCTTCTTGCAGTTTCTGTGTTCTGGCTGTGGTCACTGCCCGTTGACTGCCTGTTGCCTTCGTGTTGACCTCCCATTCAGTGCCCGTTGACGAACCGTTGACATCGCGTTGATCTCACATTGACCACACTTCGGCACTTCAACTGTGATCCAGGGGGCCTGGCCGCTCCAATCCATCGCCTACGCTGCAACAGAGGCAGAAGGGAAGCCCCTTGCACCGCCCCAAACCAAGGCCACTCAGCCTATCTTCCCACAACGTGCGCAAAACTCGCTTGTTGATCGCGCTTTAGTGGTTTGCCCCACAAGGATTCCTGACCTCGTCCAATGGCTCCTTGAGACCACTGAGCTTGCGGTCCTGCGACCTCTTCGCAGAGCTGAGAAGAACAATGTTTGCTCTAGAGTCCCAATCTCGGTCGACGTCGCCGGAATTCCCCATCGCCAGGGGGTGGTGGCGCCGCCACCACATGGCCTGTGGCGTTGGTGGGGGAACTGAGAGCCCTGCCAACGCCGTGGATGGCCCCTCCCCCCCCTCCCCCTTGTGACAAATCCCAGCAAGGAACTAGATTCCATTTGGCCCAGATCTCAGCCACTGTGCATGAAAACTGTTCTTCTGTTTTACGACTCCAAATGGCCTGCAGCCCTGTGTCTCAGGGAGTGGAGGTCATCTCAACACATGCGTTTCTGTGGGAGGTGTCACCAGGCTGTTAAGTTTTGGATGAGGGGTATAGTTGTACATCTGACACTGACTTGGGTGAGCTGTTTGGCTCACAAGATATGGGTGCAGGACTCACAAAGGATGTGTTGTGTGCAGGATGGCTGGACGCCACTGACCCGTGCAGTTGACAATGGGCAGAGATCTGTGGTGACGTTGCTGCTTGACAAAGGTTTCAGTGGTGATGTGTCAGATGAGGTGCGTCTGCTTTTCTTTGAAGCATTGAAAACCCCCATTCCCAAATGTTGGTGGCAGGCTCTCCTTGTTGGCTGCCAATGGCAGTGCAAGCTTCCCTCCAAGAGAGTCATTCTTTGCTTGTTGACAATCTCATGTTTGGCATCAGCAGGCATTTGTGCATGCTACTTTTAGGAATATGAATCCATATTGCAAAAGCACTGCATTTGTGTGATCATTCATACATATGAACCATGGTGGGGACACATTAACACTATTTCTGAGGAGTTGCTGGACATTGCTGGATTTCCTGCGGGCAGGCTACTATGTACGAAAATTGCTGTGTGGGTGTTGACTGCAGCTTGGATGGTCGCCGCTGGCCCGCGCAGCTGCCAGGGGCCACAAAGACATGGTGCAGTTGTTGATTGAACATGGTGCAGAAGCCACTATGGTGGATAAGGTGGGCCTTCTGTTGTTTTCAAAAGTTGAGCCATTATGCCATTATATATTATGTTTGCCTTGCCTTCACCACAGAAACCAGTCAAATGCACTTTACTGTGACTTGACATTCCTGAGTTTCCTTTTTTCAGCACGTCCAACATGTTCCATTTTTGTGTTACTTGCCTGCAACATTCAAGGCCAGCACAGAGCACTGTGTGAACTTATGGTGTAAAAGTGCATCAGTGGGTGTACCTTTATGGTATGCTTGTTTCAGGTTGTGGCTGTTCCGAAGGGCGAGTTGTTAAGCGCATAACTAAGAGATCAGGTGTCTTTTGCAGAAAGGAGTGACACCACTTGGGGGGGCAGCTGCAACTGGGCAAGCATCTGTTGTGGAGTTTTTGCTCGATAGTGGAGTTGATGGGAATGCATCAGATGAGGTGGGGTACGCAAGTACGATCGCTTGAGTTGGCTGCTGCTTCTCTGATCCCATTCCCCTCAGATGCTCACATCAGTACTTTATCTGCGCTTCCTTGCATCCGACTGTCTGGTCCGGCTGCCGCAGATGGCAATAAAACTCACCAGTTTTGGTGTGCCTTGGAGATCGCCCATCACACGTAACAATCGTGTCGAAATCATGTCCTGTGGTGGTCGATTGCTGTCAAAAGATGTAGAAATTTCAAACGCCCCATCCTTCCACTCCTGCCTTCACAGCTTGACAATTGGAATTGCCACTACCCTTGACTGCTGGCACCCTTTCACCCTTTTCCACTGCCTGTGTTCCTCCCCGTGTAGACAGCAAAACTTGCCAAGTGCCAGGTTGCCGATGCCTCCATTCTGTATGTTGCTTATTCACCCTTCCGTGGGCTCCTGGTCCCCAACCGACTACCCCATGCCGTGCCCCCCCAATCCCCCCTCCCCCCAGTGTCAGTAACAGCCGCATAGCAAGTCATGGGTGGTGCATTGCATGTGTTGCCATGAAACCTTGACAGACTCAGACAGTACAAGTTGGATAAAATTTGAGGTGACATGCACAGCACCGGCAAAGGCCCTCCTTGCCATTGGTACCAGAAATGGGAAAGCACATCTGCAAGGAATCTGAGTCAGAGGAACGTTTTACTGCCATATTCCATGGACTTTGATGGCCCGGTGGAGCAGGAAAGTCTCCATCATGTTAGGTGCCAGGTGCAATGAGGACTGTGCCGTATATATCAGTCAATGACTGTCATATGAGGATGTGATTGTCGACGCGTAACTCTACTGATAGTGAAACAGAACATTAATGTAATGTTGAAGGCAGCAATGCGCATTTCGAAAGGCACATCGGTTATTTGCAAGATGGGGGGAGCCCAATCATAAACTGTGAGGTTGCAATCGGACAGAGTACATTTCAGTAGCATACACATTTGAAATTCGATTTATGGAATGTCGCTGCATGTATCAGATAGTGTGTCTCCCCTAAAAGACAGTACATCCTATATTTATGTACATATGGACCAGTCCCTTTGGGCTAATGCTATTCAAGGCTGAGTACATAGGTGTACTTGCTGTGCTGGTTTGCTCCTGAAATATGTACGTATACACCCGAAAAATCGCAGCCCATTAAGCAAGAGAATCGCAGCTCAAGGCGCATGCTTCGAGGTACCCTTGGTGAAGCGCTGCAGCGCGTTCCTTTGCATGCACTTGAACGTGGACTCAACAAGCACACCTGCAAATGTTGAAGTAGAGGCTCCAGAGTCACTCTCCTCAAGAGCGAGCCGTGAGCCGTTGCTTTCCATTTTTGGCATCGCAAGTTGCCACCAGCGATCCAGAAACAATGGTGTCTGCAGTGTGGCTAACTCAGCCTGCATGTGCTTATGCACATATGTGTCCTGCACGCCTGAGTACCATCAAAGGAATTGCCATGCATAACATTGGATAGGAGGACGTTTCAAAGGACAGTGTGTCGTGTCACAAGACAATACCTAAATGCAGTTGAAATGACCTTGTGATTGCCAACGGGCCTCCATTCGTTGCAGTAGGCAAACGGTAAAGCACCATACCAGTACTATGCAAAGCGATGGCTTATTTGCCTAATATGTTGAAAGTACCATTTTGTTCCAATCAATATGTCTGCTAAATGTCGTTGGCAAAAACGTGCCATTCGGGATGCCATTTTGCATTTTTGATAATTTTCGGATGCAACGCTGAGAGTTCGCATGCAGACTAGCTGGGCATCAGAAAACTGCCATGTACTTAACACGCATTTGGAAGGTTGAATGCTTGCATTTCACTTCCACATTTTGAAGTTTTCTGCATAGACGGGTGTAGAGGTCAGCATTGGGTTGGAAATGCCGTTAGGCACCATTAGGGACATATTTGGAAAATTTTTCCTTACCAGGCCCCATTAATATATGCCAGCGGCAAAACTGGTCATTTCTCACGGCATCATTTCTGGCTTGGGCCGTTCGGCATTGCACGGGCTGGGCTTTTGCCGTTCTTTGCCACTCCCCATCGTCTGGGAGCCATCGGCCACTGTGTTTGGGAAAAGGGTGGTCGCTATTTGCCAGGGAGTGCGGCGAATTGGGTCTTGATTCATGTGTGCCAAGGGAGACAAAGTCACAGGAGGGGGGGTCCATTGTGGCTTTCGCCTGTAGGTGCCGATCGTGGCCACCCTTGGGCATTCACTGGCATGCCTAGGTGGCCACAATCAGTACTTGTGAAGAAGCAAAGCCAGTAAGAAAAAGAACTTTTTTGTACCCCTTTTCGAAGAAGCTCCATGCTCCTTCCTGTGCCTGTTTGCCTGCAGCGCACGCCCCCCTTTCCCTGCGTGGTACATGGGCCTCTATCATTGCATTGAGGCCTAGTTTGGCGGGCTGGTGGAGGTTGCTTTCCACTCATTTGCATCTCAGCTGCCGCCAGCATACCCTCCAAACCTCCCCATCCTTCTCTTGTGTAGTCCTTGCACCTCCCTACCCCCCATCCAAGCTGAGGCTCAATCGCCAATTCAACCATCGATTGAGCCCAAATTGTCTGCTCTAGGCGGTCTTTATTGCCTTTCCTGCACCTCCCCCTTACACATCCCTATGTCTCCCCACACTGAGTTGGGGCCTCAGCAAGACGATCTAGTGCATCGACGAATTGATCCTTCAAATTGACGAGCCAACGACATTGTGCACTTCCTTTATCGCTTCCCTATGGCCTCCTTGCCCTTCTCTCACTGTTTAAATAGGATCCAGGCCTGCTAATCTCCAAAATCGGCAGGCTTTGTCCCTAATAGCCAAGCTCGGAGTGTTTGTTGCCTCGCTCATCACTGCCCCCACGCCCTTGTGGCATGCCACTTCCTGTGATCCGGGTTGCTCAAAGTGGCGATCTGCCATATGAGGGCCATTGAGCCACAGATTCGACTAGCTTTGGGAATGATTATTCGCCTCCCCACTCCTCTCCACGCCTCCTGAGTCTCCCTTGCCCCTCCCTCCCGCCCCCTCCAGCTAAATTTGGAGCTCAGTCGCCGATTCCACTGGCAACTGAACCCCACTTTGTCCGCTTTGACTTTTGGCATCTCTTAGTGCCTCCCCCTGTCCTCCTACACGCCTTTCCCCTTTTCGCCACACCTGCTCCATACATCCCTCGTGCTTCCATGCTCCTCAACTGTTGGGCACACCAAGGCTTGGTCAGGAAGGCTAACGCGCGATGCGTTTGCCAAGTTGTGTGCTTGCATGTGCGTCATGGGTGGACATTGCTAGGTGTGGGCTGGCTGCCAGCCCATCAGCGAGCATCTCAGCTGTACACGTGAGGTTGCCACAAACTGCCCCCAGGGGAAGCTCCTCAATGCAGCCCTATTACTAAATGCACCGTTCATAAACTGTTCTGATGCCATAAACATCAACAACAACATACAAAATCGGTTCTGCACCATGGGTGCCCTTATGTAACGGCCTGCAACACTGACCTCTAGTCGGGTGAGCTGTGGGAAGTCAGGCTGGCAGCTCCGTCGCTCACAAAATGGTCGATGGGAACTGGCACAAGCAACTATTGCAACTATCTTTGCCAGCTATGGCAAGAGGATATGGTGAATCACTCTCACATTGGAGCATGTCCGGGTGCACCTAATCAATGCCAGCCAGCATTTGAAATTAGCAAATAGAAGTTTTCTGTGTTGCCTTTCTACGCACCTAGTCATGGACAGCTGGAGAAGGAGGGCATGACAGTCAGTGCTGGAGTCGTGTGCGATTTCAATCTGGCACGGAAACAGGTCGCCATGTTCGAGCATGGAATTGCGCATTCTGACGAATCCACTACAAGGGCGAGCAATTATTTGGTTGTATCAATAAATATCATCTATTGTCTCATGAGAGAATACATTGCATCGTATCCAAGTGGCGATGTGTCTGTTGTAAGAATTCTCGATGTGCGTTGTTAGCAGGATGCGATTTGGGGCGACACACCATATCTGATGTGAACATCAATGCGATTTCAATGTTTGGTGATTACCCTTGATGCCCACTTCCGACTGCGGCATTCTTCAGCATGACAACCTTGATGCAGTAGCTGGCAGTGCACCATTTCCCACGATTGCCACATTGAAAGATGAGAATGCATCTGTGGTGTTGCCTGCAGAAGGGCATGACAGGACTAATGCATGCGGCTCTTGGTGGGCACGATGCCATCGTCAAAATGCTCCTTGACAAGGGTGCTAACACGAGCGACAGAGATAAGGTGCGATTCAACGTGGTCGAAAAAATCGTACTGCTGCATCGATTCACGGTGTCCAGTTGCTTCTGAGGTCCTACAGTTGCCCGTTCAGTGCGGTTGCATTCACCACCTGATATCCATGTGACTTGCTGTGCAGAAAGTCACGCCTGCTTGAGGAATCTTGTGTATGGCAGCGTTTAATTTACGTAATTTGCATTTACTCAAAGTAAACAACTCACATAGTCTGTATTCTGTGGCTAGCACGATTGATCTTCTGATAGTGTCCGTTTTGGGATCTAGGGTTGCAATGTTATTTGGATATCTCTCGGTGCTATTGCCATCTGAACCATTAAGCTGATGTCACTGATGCTCCAACAGCATGAGCATTTATGGGCACAGAATCAGGACACCATGTTGGCCGCAGAATTGCGCATTCGACGTTTTTGCTGTGAGGGCATGGAATTAATTGGCAGTGCCAATTACACTGAGAGAATAGCTTTCATGGGATCCCACCAGCGACATACATGCTTCCTAACAGTCGCGGATTTGCAGTAATAATAGCAATGTGATTTTGAGCGATACACCATATCTGTTGTGTGGCGCCAACTCTTCATCATCATAATCATCATCAAGCAGAAAGCCGCACAGATGAGGGATGATGCCTTCCCACCTTCAACCCACCGATTAATTTGGAAGTGACCATCAAATACATGAAGCACGCACAGCACAATATTGCAATTCTGAAAATTCTGTTTCCCCCATGGCAGGATGGTTGGACAGTCCTTCATTGCGCAGCTGGAGGCGGATCCGCAGAAGTAGTCAGCTGCCTGTTGGAACGCTGCGATGCTGCCTTGCTGAGTGCCAAGACTGAGGTGGGGCAGAACTGGTCACGAACATTTTTGGACTGTCAGGGAATGCCACTGCTGTGGCTTACAAAAAACCCTGCGCTGTGAGCCCTTTGGCGCATTGGAATGCAGTGAGGGGGGCCGTTGCCGTGCAGCAACAGTACTTCCACCAATCACAACAGGCGGCTTTTCATGGATCCTCAAGGCACGTCGGCCTGTGACCCAGCAGACTGCGTGTTGACGGTTAGATGACTGCCCCCTGTGCGCCATTGACCAGCCATTCACCAACCGTTGACTTCACGCTCACCACCCGTCGACTGCCCTTCAGCCCAGGGCCCAGGGCAGGACTGGCCACTGCAGTCTGTTGCCTGATGCAAGACAAGGGGCAGAAAGGGGGCACCTGTGCAACCCCTCCCCCCAAGGTCATCCGACCAAGTTTGCCCCAGCGAGCAGAAAGATCGTTTGTAGTCCACCGTATTGTATATTGTATGTACGCCGTTCAACATCCGTTGACTCAACACTCACTGCCTGTCGACCGCCCTTCAGCCCAGGGCCCAGGGCAGGGCTGGCTCCTCCAATCCGTCACCTGACGCAAGACAGGAGCCAGAAAGGGGGCGCGTGTGCGTCTTCCTCAAAGGCTGCCCAACCAAACTTTCCCCGCAACCAGCACAAAGATCGCTTGTGGTCCAGTGTGTTGTATCCTATGTGAACGCTGTTGAATCCACTTTGTGTGAGTGCCAATGGAGCATCCATACGCTGTAATGGGCTTTGTAGACTGCTGGTAAGGTACTGTATCAGTATTTTACGTTGAAGTATGGTACAAGTAAGGAACTCATTTTCCCAGTACTTATTCTGCCTGAATAGCGCTTGAGGATGTGGTTGTTGCAAACATGCCATGTGTGACACAGTTGCTTGCTTGTGGGTTGCTTACAATGGAAAGTGCCAAGATTTAAATAGGCCGTTCCACGCGCAATGTGCTCCCATGGGGTAACCAGGCCGTTGGGATGCCCACCCTTGAATTTCGATTCTTCGAATTACTGCATTTTCTATTTAAAAGCAATTGTGTTGTGTAGATCTAATTGCAGAATGGATGTCGAGGATCGCTCTATTACTGCGACTTGCTTGCATGTTTGACGCTTGCATTTCACTCCCATATTCTGAAGCTTTCTCCAGTAAATAAACCTGCAGCTGGGCGATCTTTGGGCAGTCGGGCCAATGGCTCCTACATTCACAGAAGAGTAGAAGAGATGGTCATGTACCCTGTTTCGATTCCTGGAGCCACATGCCTGGCTGTCCACAGGTCAAACGTGTCTGTGGACGTTTTTTCAAGGGAACCAAACTTTGAAACACCCTTTTAGGCAAATGTGCCAGTAGTCCAGAGTGCTTTGACGTCAAAAACAGTGGTCCATTTGCCCAAAACTTGCTGTTTGCACTATTTGTGGATAGTGGCGTTGGTGTGGCTATATTGTGCAGTATGCCCATTGGACTCTTTTTGTGCCTGGGACTTTTCGTGGGCCATGCGCTGGTATTGGCTGCTCGTTTTGGTTGTGCTCAGCAGTATTGAACACCCCTGCTGCACGCATTGTGATTCCTGTGTTCGGTGGTCATCCTGATGCTCACACTTAGCCATGGCATTCTCCAGTGTGACGAGATGGATGCTGTGGTTGGCAGTGCATAGCTTCCCACGAGTGAGGCTTTGAGAAATGAGAATGCATCTGGTGTGTTGCCTGCAGGCAGGACACACAGCACTGATGCTAGCGGCTTTCAATGGGCACAGCGCTGTTTTCAAAATGCTCTTGGACAAGGGCGCTGATGCGAGCGTCGTGGAAAATGTGCGTTTCTTCTTGATCAGAAAATCTACATTGGTGCATTGATTCCCCGTGTTCTTGTTTCCGCCTTCAATTTGAGGTAGCCGGGGCCATGGAATTGTGTTGCGCTATCGCCACTTGCCAATCATGGCACGTCACATCTGGTCATTACACACATCATTTACAAGGTGAACATTATGTGACATGTATGTTGATAGACACCACTGTGCATGAACAGGCAATGGTGGTGAATTTGATATTCTAACACGTTGATGGCGTGTCAACTGCTGGGCAGTGGTTCCCCCGGTGATCAGTAAGCTACTGACCAAGTATGGCCCTTTGGTGCAGTTGAGTACAGCACAGCTGCAAAAGGAAGCTGGAAAACCAATTGGCCACAGAACTGAGGCGCCATGGGAAGCCAAATAACTTTTTGTTGCAAAAGAATCAATGGGAGAAGTTGTATCTAGTACATGGCGTCAAAAGCCATTCTTGCCAAGCAGGGAAACTTGCAGATGTGGAACAACGTCTTTCCGCCTTTAGGTTTGTTGATGATTGGGGCAGTTGCTCAATTAAAATTATTGGAGAATGTTGCATACACGGTCGCATATTCTGACAATTTTGAATCCTGTATGTCAGGACGGAGTCACAGTCCTGCATGCTGCAGCCGTGGGAGGATCGACAGATGTGGTTAGTTGCGTGCTGCAGCACTGCGATGTCTCGTGTCTGAGTGCCAAAACCAAGGTGGGACAGGACCGGCCACAAGTCCATTTGGACTATCAGACAATATCACTATTGTGGCTTGCGAAAGCCATTCGTTGTGGGCCCTTCGACCCGGGTCCGCTGGAATGCAGTGATAGGGGGCCTTTGTGAGCAGCGCAGGCAGTTCCGCCAATTACAACGGGCACCTTTGCATCGATCGCCACAAGGCACGTCGGCCTGTGATCCCGCGAAATGCGCGGTGACCGCCCATTGACCTCACGCTCACCGCCTGTTGACCGCCTGCCAGGCACCCTTTGGCCCTCCAACGTACTGACCCCAGCTCCCAAAGCTGTCCACTCCAATCTGTCGCCAGTGGTACCACACTGGGCAGAAAGGGTCGCCTTTGCATCGCCGCTCAAAACCACCCAACCCATCTTTCCATGTGGCAAGCGCAAAGATCGCCTGTGTTGGTACAGTGTATTGTTTGTTATATCAAGCTGGCAGTACTTATGATACTTGCCCATCAAATGAGGCAGGCCCACAAACAGTGCAGTGCAAACCTCTGCGGCAATGCAGCATGTCAACAGCCCCTTGCCACACTGACGCTCAAGCTAGCACCTTGGAGCCCACGCCACACGCTGTGTTGCTGGCCACGGGCCCATGGACTTCCATGAATTTTTGACACGGGCGATCGGCGTCTCCTGCTCTTGGTGCTGTGCGAGGTTAGGAACTTCCATCGGATCCCACTGGCGACACATCTGTTTCCTAATAACCCTGGATTTACAGTACAAGTAGGAACATGATTTGGGGCAATACACCACATCTGTTGTGTGACATCAAATTTAACCATCACCCAGCAGAAAGCAGCGTAGATGTGGGATGACGCCTCCCCACCTTCAAGCCATCGATTGGAAGCAGCTGGTGGAGATGACAATCGACAACATTGAGCACATACAGCACAATATCGCAATTCTGAAAATTCTGTTGCACCCGTGGCAGGATGGACGGACAGTCCCTCATTACGGATCTGAAAGAGGATCAACAGCAGTAGTCAGAGATGCCGCCTTGCTGAGCGCCAAGACTGAGGTGGGGCAGAACTGGTCATAAACACTTTTGGATGGTCACGGAATGCCACTGTTGTGACCTACCAAAAAAAAACACGCTGTGAGCCCTTTGTCCCATTGGCATGCAGCAAGGGGGCTGTTGGTGTGCGGCAACGCTACCTCCGCCAATCACAACAGGCGGCTTTGCACGGATCCCAAAGGCACGTCGGCCTGTGCCCAAGCGGACTGCGCACTGACCGTTAGTTGACCACCCCCTATATGCTGTTGACCAGCCGTTCACCAACCGTTGAACAGCCATTGCCGTCACGCTCACCGCCCATCGGCTACCCTTCAGCCCAGGGCCCAGGGCAGGTCTGGCCCCTCCAATCCGTCGTCTGATGCAAGACAGGGGCCAGAAAGCGGATGCCTGTGTGTCCCCACCACCCCCACCCCCAAGGCCACCTAACCAGACTTTCCCCGAAACCAGCATCAAGATCACTTGTGGCCCTGCGTGTTGTATCTTATGCGAACGCCATTGAATCCACTTTGTGTGAGTGTCAATGGAGCATCCATATGCTGCAATGAGCTTTACAGACTACTGGTAAAGAATAGTGGCAGTATTTTACATTGAAGTATGATGTAAGCAAAGAACCCATTTTACCAGTACTTTGTTCGCCCGGAATAGCACTGGAGGATGGTGCAAATGTGCCACGTAGGACGCAGTTGTTTTCTTGCAGGATGGTGCCGATGAACTGCGTAGATCTAATTGCAGAATGGATGTCGAGGATCGCTCTGTAATTGCGACGTGTTTGCATGTTTAACCCCCGCATTTCATTCCCAAATTCTAAAATTTTCTCCAGTAATTACCCCAGCAGCTGGGCGACATTTGGGCAGTCGGGCCATTGGCTCCTACATTAACAAAATAGTAAATGGTCATCTACCCTGTTTCGATTCCTGTAGTCGCATGCCTTACTGCCCACTGATCGAAAGTGTCCATGTACGTTTTCTCCAAGGGAAGCAAACTTTGAAGCACTCTTATAGCCAAATGTGCCAGTAGTTCACAATGCTTTGGCGGTAAAAATAATGATCCGTTGTTCAAAATTTGTTGTTTACACTGTTTGTGGACAGTAATGTTGGTGTCGCTATGTTGAACAATATGCTCATTTGACTCTTTTTGTGCCGGAACTTTCTGTGGGCCATGCACTGGTATTGCCTGCTCGTTTTGTTTGTGCTCAGCAGTGTTGAACACCCCTACTGCATTGTGATTCTTGCGGTCGGTGGTGAACTTGATGCCCACTCTTAACCTTGGCATTCCCCAGCGTGACGACATGGATGCGGTGGTTGGTTTTGAGAAATGAGAATCGTCTGTTGTGTTCCCTGTAGGCAGGGGAGACGCCACTGATAAAAGCGGCCTTTGAAGGGCACAGCGCCGTTGTCAAAATGCTCTTGGACAAGGGTGCCGATGCGAGCGCCACGAGAAAGGTGCGTTTCTTCTTGATCAGAAAATCCACATTGCATTGATTCCCCATGTCCTCAATTCTATTTTCATTTGAGGCTGCAGGAGTCATGGAATTCTGTTGCGCAATCGCTACTCGCCAATCATGGCACGTCACATCTGTCCATGACGCACACGATTTGCATTGTGTGCATTATGTAACGTGCATGTTGATAAACACCACTGCGCAATAGCAGGCAACAGGCTTGGTTGTTACGTTTGCGTTTACGTTTTTATTATTTATAAAACGACCTATTATTATGGCTGTTTTTACGTCTTTACGGCTCCCTGGCACACGTAGGTTACATGACAAAAGCTGCGCACAATGATTAGTTCTCTGCCATCTCCAGCACCCGCAACACAATGTCCACCTCGCCGTTGGTAAGGGCGAAAATGGCGTTTAACAAAAACTCGTCTTCTGCCTCTTCCAAGGCGTCTGGCTGCCACTCTCCGGACACTGTAAATCTGTACGTACTGTCCTTATGCGCACCAGGCAGTTTTTACGTTGTATTGACGTATTTTTACGCATTTTGCGCATAAAAACGTAAATACGATCAGTTTTAACGGCATAAAACCCAAGCCTGGCAGGCGATGATGGTGGAATTGATATTCTCGAACGTTGGTAAGGTATCAACTGCTGGACAGTCGTCGCCCTTGTGATCAGCAAGCCGCTCAGCAAGTATGGCCCTTTAGCGCAGTTTAGCACAGCACAGCTGGAAAAGGAAGCGTGAAAACCAATCGGCCACAGAACTGAGGCGCCACGGGCAGCCAAACAACTTTTCGTTGCAAACAATCGATGTGGGAACTGGCTCAGCACACTAGGAAAAAAAGGGCAAAATAACGCGTGTTCAAACGTGTACAAAGTTTACGGGTTTGTGTTATTTCTGTGTTCTTAGCATGGAGAATCTTGATGAAATGTGTTTTATGTGTGTTCGCGAAAGTGTCATTTGGCCCTTTTTTTCCTAGTGGCATGTCGGTGCACAGAAAAGTTTGGCATTGAAGCAGACCGGCATTGCTGAAAGCAGAGCATGTTTCAATGTGTGCGCTTTAAGCAGGAATGTGTTTGCAGGCAGCGCTCGATATCTGGTAGATGACATCAAGCGCCATTCTTGTCAAATAGGATGGCATGCAGATGGGGAACAACGTCGTTCCACTTTAGGTTTTTTGATCGTTGGGGGAATTGACCAATTAGAATCAATGAAGGATGTTCCGTAAGCGGTCACGTATTCTGACAATTTTGAATCCTGTATGGCAGGACGGAGCCAGTGTCCTACATGCCGCGGCTGCAGGAGGGTCGACAGAAGTGGTTAGCTGCGTGCTGCAACACTGCGATGACTCCTTTCTGAGTGCCAAAACGAAGGTGGGACAGGACCGCCCACAAGCCCATTTGGACTGTCAGGGAATGCCCCCCAGATGGCCTTTGTGTGAAGCGATGGCGGTTCCACCGATCACAAAGGGCACCTTGCATCGATCCCCACAAGGCACATTGGCCTGCGATCCCACGGAATGCGCGTTGATCGCCCGTTGACCCCATGCTCACTGCCCATTGACCTCCTGCCAAGCACCCTTCGACCCTTCCACTGACCCCAGCTCCAGGGCTGGCCGCTCCAATTCACTAGGGAAAAAAGGGCCAAATAACACTTTTGAGAACACACATAAAACACATTTAATCAAAGTTCTGCACGCCAAGAACACAAAAATAACACACACCCGTAAACTTTGTACACGCTTGAACACGTGTTATTTGGCCCTTTTTTTCTAGTGATTCGTCGCCAGCGTTACCACACCAGGCAGAAAGGGGCTGCCTTTGCGTCGCCGCCCAAGACCACCCCACCTATGTTTCCCAGCAACAAGCTCAAAGATCGCCTGTGTTGGTACAAATCACTGTGTCTTATATTATGTCGGTGGTATTCAAAAATACTCACCCATCATTTAAGCCAGGCCCACAAACAGTACGGTGCAAACCATTGCGGCAACGCCCCAGCATGTCAACAGCCCCTTGCCACGCTGGTGTTCAAGTTCTCAACTTGGGGGGCCCCATGCCATGCACCACGATGCCGGCCACAGGGTATACCTTCAACGCGGGCGATCGGTGTCTCTTGCTCTTGGCACCATGTGAGGTTTGCATCCATGGCAAAAAAAGACGTTGGGACGGCCCGGACGGGAGCCAGGCGACCTGGGTTTGCAAAAGCCGCGACCTCCAACAGGTTTGCCTCAACCGTTGTTGTAAGGACGCAAAGCACTAGGCATAGGCGAGAGCCCGAGGAACAAGGAACAATAGGGCTTTCAACCGTGGCGTACAGAGGTGCAGTGCAGCGCAGTGGCATGGTAGAGATCTACGCGGTGCAGCACTCGCAGCCAATGCTAGCCTGCGGAGGTGGTAAGAGTTCGTAGATGTGAGTGGACACAAATGTCGAATGAGTGGCTGCCATTCCCGGTATGCGCAGTTCCCCAGTGGTCATGGTTTGTGCCAGTGGCACAGGAGGTGCCACGGCTGGGGCGTTTTGGGCGCCATTCTTGTGGCCACAGTCGCGCCTCCCGCGTGGCCATTCTTGCTGCACAAGTTGGGTCCGTCACCTGAGGTTTGTCCAGCAACGATGAACGCTAGGTGACCCCATTTTACCATTCCTGCCGTTCTCCTTGCCCAAAGCGCCAGGGCCCATGGCACCGGCCTCCTGGAACAAGAGCAGAGGGGGGGGGGGGGACAGAGCAATGGCACGGGGGCAAGCCAGCAGCAAGAATATTGCGCGACTACGGCGTTGCTCTGCACTGTGCATTGGAAAAATGTGGCGTGGCTCACTGGACCACGGGTAAGGGCAGCACGGATAGGGGCCATGTCCTACCTATTGAGCAAGCGCCACCAGGGCGCCCATCAATCCCACGCACCCCATTTCCCAACCCAACTTGGGACATTTCAGCAGCGAGAACAGCTTCCAAGCGAGGCAATAGGCAACACCCGCAGAGGGGGATGTTGATGGCCCACCGCAAGCATGGGCGGCCAACAGCCACAGTTGCAAAAAGCAAACAAAGCAAAAGCAGTGCAGATCTGAAACAAGCGCAGGCAATCTGCTGCCACTGCCGCTTCGCAAACCATGGACAAAAGTGCCCACTGGAGGCTCCAGCGCGGCGGCGAGCTGGCTGGCCGGGCGACGGATGCAGCTTACTGCATTGGGGCGCTAGCCCTCTGCACTGAGAGATCACGGAGATCATGTAGCGTCCAACGTGTCAGCGAACGCGCAAAGCACGTCGCCAAAAGTGACAAGAGTGGCAGCACCATCACGGCCTCCCACACTCCCACATACACCAATATGCCCCCATGCAGCCAGCGATCGCGGCCACCCACGAGCGCCAATCTTGGCACTCGTGGCTGGCAACAATTGCTGAATGGCAGCGATGATCAAGAGGGCGGTGGAAGGGGCATACCTCCTCTGTTCATTCGCCCATTGCAAGAAGAGCCTTAAGGCCTTGGGACTGCAGCGGTGGCAAGTCTGGCTGGAAAACATTGTCCCCGCCGCCGCCCCCCCCCCCCAACAGTGCTGAGATCTGGACAATCCTGCCCAACACGTTATCAGTGAAGAATCCCGTAGAGTGGATGCATGGGACGCGATCGTGGAGCTTCAAACTGCTTGCCAATACAACTACACCCGCTTGCCGCGCCAAGCAAGACAGGCAAGCGAACATCCCGCCCACCCACAAGGGAGTTCGCTGACAGGTAAAGACATTCCCTATGGAACCAGGCCTGGCATCTCTTACACCAAATGGCGTCATCCAAGTCAACGCCTTCCCCACAAAGCTCTCCAGCCATCCAATTGTCTTTTATCTCATTCCCAGCCATGGCGCTGTCAAGGGACGAAACCCAAGTCAAACTAAAGGAATTTGGACGACCAGGGCAGGCCAACGGGTGGGGGAAGGGCCATGTGGACGATCAGGTGAGACAAAAAGGCGAGCTCCCACCGGATACCTACATAGGACCCAGAACACGGGATTGCATCACTGAAGATACTTTTTGTACCAACCTGTCGTCTTCCATTCAGGAAGTGCAATGCGGCAGATGGTGTGAAGAGGAGAAGCCGACCATGCCTTGAGAAGGGCCTCCAGGATGGGCATGATGTTGTCGAATGGTGGATTACACCAGACCACTTGCCCGATAAGGTGGCGCCAGTGGTGCTGCATTGGCTGGCATTCCAAAAATCAAGCGGAGCAGCCAATTTGGATGTTGGAACCATCATCTTTCGTGCATGCATCCACTCGGGCGGGAGAATGGTTGAATGCAGCGAATGGCAGGAAGCGCCAATGGCTAAAGGGGATGATGTCACGACCGTGGCTCAAGCCATCGGCTGTGTTTCAAAACTCAGGGATATACCGTGCCTGGATCTCATTATGCAGGGTGATGGCGACGAATGCCATGTCTTGGACAATCCCACGATTGACAGCCGACCGAGTTGTGCCATGGTTTGCCGCAGCCATAGTGCTAGTGTTGTTAGTAAAAACGAGCACCCTATTGCCAGACCAGGAGGGGCCGCAGTGGCACAGCGCCTTGAGAATAGCCATGAGCTCCGTGTGGGTTGAATGCTTTATAAAGAGCTCACCCTCCGTCCATTTTCCGGCCATCGCCTCATAGCCCCAATGGGCGCCCCACCCATTGACCACAGTCGCTACTGCCATGCAAATGGCATCGGCCGTCATCAAGAGATGATGGACTTCATCAGTGGAGAATTGGAACTTGCCATCCCACAGGGACTCCCTGACGGGGAGGAGGTAGGGGAAAGAATGTGAAGCCAGAAGTCAAGATCGGAGATGACCTTGGAGTCCACCTTGACAAAGTCGTCACACGGCTGCGTCCCAAGGATGATGGGGGCGTAGAGGGCATCAAAGACGTTTCTGAGGAACGACACCACCCCAGCAACACGCGCGGGCGGTGTAACAGAGACGTTCAAAAACTTTTTTGAGGTGTTTGTGGGGGCAAATGTTCAGAGGGAGGGTCGCTGTGAGGAAATCGATGAGGGTGTCATAACAAGGCACTCGCTTGTCCACCGGCAGCCAGAGCGAGAGGTCAAATGTATTGAGTCCTAGGCTGAGGAACAAGAGCTGGTGGAGGAGGGGCGATTGGCCGACGTCCTTGGAATGTTCCACAACAGGCCGAGGAGCCCGGCCTCAGCATCCATGGAGTCAAAAGCCTATTGGAGACCATGGAAGGATGGAGCGATGTTTAGGAAATCATCAAGGTAGACAAAAAGGGTGGCCTTGATGCCAACCAAGGCGAAGCGGTGCCGAAAGATGTCTGTGGCGGATTCAGTCAATCCGCAAAAAAAGCCGGGGCTTTGTTGGGCCCCAAAGGGGAAAACGCACCAACAAAAAGGGCATCCTATCCTTGGATGGACGAGGCCCATGAGTCGGTGTGCCTCAAGGGCCAGGACGACATGGTGGAATCCGTGTCGCAGGTCGTTTTTGTCCAGGAAGTCCTTGGGGCGCACCATGTGTAGGGCATCCTACAGTTGTGGTAGGGTGACTTGCCAGTTGGCCATGCATGCATTCATGCCCATAATGGGCGGATCCATGGGGGGGCCGGATCTCGCCATCCGCTTGACCATTGCATCCCATGGATTGATGCCAATCGCAAAGTTCAGGGGTGAACTGTGCTCTTAGGGTTCGTAAGCCTCAACTAGGTGTTGAGCGACATAGCGATCGACTTTTTGTGTCAGCTGAGAGAGGCGGTCAAGAGCAGACTTGTGTGATTACTATGAAAGCCATATATCAGCTGAGAATAGAGGAGCCTAGTGGTCTTATTCCAAATGGAGAGGCTACCATGTCCCCCAGAAATGCCGCCGGTTGATGTTGAGCTTCAACCCATGAGGCTCATCGAATCAAGGGTGTATGGAGAACTTTGAGTCAAAGCAGGCTGATCGAAATGGGAGGCGTCCAAATTAGGGAACAATTCCAGATTCGTTACAGAGCTACAAACCACCCAACTCAATTGTTCCGCCAAAGACAACACTGCCTCAGGTTGGCCATCCAACAACATTTCCCACATGTTGCCTAGGGCTTCAAGGACCCATTAATATGTCCCTGAGGGGCTAGAGGCCGGAGGGGTTGCAGGCTCTATCAAAAGGGTCGCAGCCCCAGGGGCAAACCCATAACAAGAGCATTGCAACAAGGAAACCATAGGGAAGCATTTCAGCTGGGTCGTTGCACGAGGAGAAGATGATAGTGCCAGGGACAAGATGGAAAGATGATGTTGAGCCATGAACATGGCAGCTTGGAGCGGATCCATATGGGAACAGCCGAAGAAGAGGAAGGTTGGAAGGCCTCAGCGGGTGCCCCTAGCTCCCTTGGAGGGGATCTTCTGAAGCGCATTGAGCAATATGCCGGCCTGGAAGAGGGCGACGTTTGGCAGTCGTCGACAAAACATCCAAGCAACTACAAAGAGGATACCTCTTCCCATGTTCCCTCACCTCCCCCCTTGTTTTGGTTGGCAAGAGTGACCACCTGGTGGGGCGGTGGGGGATCACACCCCTATGCAGGCGGGTGATGGGGAGGGCCCCCTGTCGGGGTGTGGGATGGTCCTGGGGCCGAAGGGCCCTTGTCATCCGCCTTGGTCTTCTTGAGCTTGTGGCAGTCTTGGATGATGTGGCTGCGATCCTTGCAGTAGAAGAAGATAGGAGGCCCTGTCTCATGGCAAAATGGGCCTCCTGGTATTGGTGAAACTCAGGGCACAATGTCGCCACATGTCCTTTGGCTTGGTGCCAAACGCACCAAGATGTAGTGGCTTGGGGTTTTGGGTCATCGGTGGGGGATATCGGCATGCACAAAAAGGCCTTAATGGGTGCTGCCGTCATGGCTGGGTCTTGCCCGGAAGTGGGGTCCATGACCACTGTCATGGACTTCTAAACCTTAGCGGGCGTTTGGAGCCGAGAAAGGGGGGGGAGGTAAAGATGATGATATTGGGCATGAAGATTTTCCCGCAGTTGACAGAGTCGCATGGCCACAGTGGCCATGGGTAGCCATGGGTAGTGACTACCCAGTCTTCGTCTTCCATGAGCCTTTGAATATCTTTATTCGCCTCCCTCAGATTGGCCTCATCACGTTCCTCCATTTGTTGGCATGTGGAAGAGGCCGGGAGGTGGGCAGAACCAATGAAGTCCACAAATCCCTTAATAGCTGCTGCAAGGGAATTCTCGCTAGAGTCCGTTGGTGCAGCAAAGAGTCCGCAAACGTTGTCATAAGCCCAATCCGTGGGCAGAATGCCGTGCTTCACATGGGGGGTATTAAACCTGTACGGGGGACGGCCGATCCTCCTGCCAGCCTTGTGCACCTCTGAGCAGAGCCCAGCAGAAGGGGGGCGATAGTGTCTGTGAAGGACGATGTTGGTGGCCCAGGCCGGCACTTGGAGGGCGCGCCCGGGGGAGAACGTTGGCTACAGGGACGCCGAGCCGCCTGGGAAGTGGAAGGGGTGTCAATTTGGCACCCGTCTGAGGGTCAGTGTACAATGGTGCGCCATTCTAGGGGTCGGTGTCGTTACCAAAATCCTCGAAGCGGCGCTTGCGTTTGAGACTTTTGTTGGACGCGTGCTGCAAGTTGGAACACAGCCACGAGAGATCCACTGCCTGGTCAGCAACCGTAGAGTCTTTTCATGAGGCCGTGGACGCCTTGCGGGCTGGAGGGCGGGTCGCATGGCGACACAGATAGAGGCCGGCCGGAGGCCCATTCTCCCTATCTGCGTCAAGCTCTAGTGCGAGGGAAGGGCCCATAGATCGATTGAATTCTTCCCTGACGTGGAGGAGAGAGGCCACAACCCAGTCGTAGTCACAGTTCTGTGAAGCCTCTGGGTGTTCAGTGTCTCAGAGTCTACGGGCTTCCAGGTGCGCTGCCCACCATTGCAGGTGTTTGGACCGAAGGAAGAGAGCTCGTTCCGCAATGCAAGAAGTAATTTGGTAACGATCCTCAGTGCAGAGGTCGTCAACGTCCATTTTTTTAGCATTCGAGAGCGACTAGGCGTTGAGGGCGGTCTGCAATTCCCACTCAAAGCCTCAAAACATTTGGAACTTGTCCTCGCCATGATTGATAACGCGTGCACGCAGTGCCTCCAGATCAGTCTGGGCGCTGGGGCGACGGGAGTTGGAGCGAGAGCCTGCTCGACCCCAGGAGACATGTTTGCCCCACGGGGTGCATCCCGTGCCAGCTTCAGGCGTCTGGAGAGAACCAGCTCATCCCTGGTGGGTGCCGATGCAGAAGCGGGGAGTTGTTATGGAAGAACCTTTGCAATAACCATCTCCTCGTCGTCGTCAGCTTTGAGCGGAAGACCATCCAGCCCCAAGGCCTTCTCCAGGCTGGAAATGACGACATCCCACAAAGCGGGCGCCTTGGAGTGAGCGGCCGTAGGCGAAGCGTTCACAGTGGTCGACGTGGGGCCAGCACTGGCCTGATGGTACTGGCTGGTCGATGGCTGAGAGGATATGCGGGGAGTGGTTGAAGCAGAGGCTCGGGGAGCTGTGCCGTGCCCCCAGTCACGGCGCCTGGCAAAACGCTTGGCCACCAAAGCCATGCCCAAGGTTGAGGCGATCGGGGCCAAGAGAACGAAGGCGCTTCCAACAAACATTGTACCCAGTCGAGCAGAGAGCCAAAGCGCTCAGGGGGCCGCTAGATTCTTGATTGTTCCGTGCTGATTGGGCTTGATCAGCGCTTGATCACTTCTGGTGAGCGGCTTTTTCTCTTTCGCGCTGCCGTACAGCAAGACCACTTTTTGACTGACCTCAGCAGGTCAATGAGTCTCTCGCGCGCCTTTTTACCTCATGTAAGCTGTATCCATGCGATTTTTCCGGCGGCATTTCACATATGTAAGCTACCACGCACCCCACCCTCAGGTACTCAGGCGTCCCGCGACCCGAGGGTGCCCCTCCTGGTTCTGTTTGATTGGTTGGGGTTGCCATTCCACCCAATCGGGTGAAGGCTCTGTGGTGGCTGTCCCCCCACGTCCCTCTCCACGGGGTAAGAGGGAGACTGTTATTGCCCGATGGTCTTTTTTTGGCCAATCAGAGTGGCTGAGTGCAGTACTGTCCTGCCTGCGCCCCCACCTCCAACGGGGAGGTTATCTCGGAACCATGCTGTTGGCTATATGCAGCTGCCCGACCAATAAGGGCCGAGATCTTTTTTGCCCCGTCTAGTATCAGTCCCTATTGTACATAACCTCCGTTTGGCCCAACCAGCCTACAAAGACCGGGACCACTCCTGGTATCAGCCGTGTGATTGTCGATCAGGAGCACACTTGAAGTGCGAGCAACTCTATATGATATTAGTGTCCGGTATCTTTAGAGTATGTCGTTACTTACTTATTTCCCTAGGGTGGTTTTATTCATGACTCTTCTGCCTTACGTTCCCAACTTGCCCGATTTCACACTGCTACTCTTTCCCAACATCTTTAACATTACAGCCAACGCTTACCTCTGTATTCCAAGTTGCCCATTTTTTTCCTCAAACTATTCCTCGAACCAAACACCGCCCTCTTGCCTCACACGACCCTATGACTAGCCCGACCGCTTCACGCTTCCTCGTCCAACTGGCAGCATATCGTGTCCTTATTCCCCATCCATGGACATACACACTAACGCGATTCCTCCCCCGGTTCTCCATTTTTCATTTTTGCTCTCGTCTAGCCCTGAACCTGTAGGAAAAAATAGACTATCATTGCCACGCTGCAGTCAGCGCACCAATTGGCGCACCATTTAGCGCACAGATTCATGCAAAGATTGGTAGAATAATCACAGCACCAAACAAGCCAATAATTGGTGCGCCAGTTTGTGCACCTGTTGGTACGCTATTTCATGCACTGATTCTTCACTTGGCTTGTTGTCAAAAAGCAAACCCATGCGACTCGATCTCATGTTGATTGAAACTCATTGACTCATCTTAAAACTTGCTTGTAGTCAGCGGCATCGCAGGGCCTTGAGAGCCATCTGGATACACCGCACGACCAACCTGAAACCGTGACGCCAGGTTCATTAAAGGACAACACGTGCGCAGTGCGTGCGGCGGACCGAACTTGTTGACGCCATGGAATTAATTTCCAAAAAAACGCAAGGCGCTCGTACGTTGTAGTAGGCTTTATGAGCTACTGGTAAAGTATTGTAGCGATACTTTGCGATGCACGTGGACAACCTGTTTTCCTAGTAGTTTGTTTCGCTGTAGTACTTCTGGAGGGCATGCTTGGTGTAAAACGCGATGCTTAGGATGCAATTTTTCTTTGTTGTGTGGTTCCAAGTGCAATGCTGAGATTCGATTCCAGGGTAGACAGACGCCAAATACTGTCATGTACCTGAGGCACATTTGCAATATTTGGACGCCCGCATTTTATTTTCCAATTTTTGAGCTTTTTTTCACAACAATTTCACGAGTATTTGGATGACCTTAGGCAGTTGGGCTGAAGCCTCCAACATTCTCAACAGGGTACACAGGCACTTCTTTAGAGGAGACCCAAATGCCAAACTACCTTTATATACATACGTGCCTATACTCCAGTATTTTGGGAACACCGGCTTTAGCCCAGTTGCCTTTTATTTCAGTGCTTTGGCAGCACAGAAAGTAGTCGAGATGCCCAGCACTTTGTTCCTTTGCAATATTTGTGGACTTTGGCATGATTGTGAGCAATGTTGTGCAAGTATGTTCTCAAGTCTTTCTCCCCAGGCAAATGTTGGCGCCCATATCTGGACACCGGTGGCTGGCTTCTGTAGTGGACAGCGGTATTGAACCTTCATGCTGCATCCATTCTAGTTTATGCGGTTGGCGGTGCATTGCTTCCAAAGATTGAGGCTTAGAGAAATGAGAATGCGTCCGGTGTGTTGCCTGCAGGCAGGAAACACGGTACTGATGGACGCAGCTCTCGGGGGGCACGACGCCATCGTCAAAATGCTCCTTGACAAGGGTGCAAACACGAGCGACAGATATGAGGTGCGATTCTACGTGGTGGAGTAAATTTTACTGCTGCATCGACTCGTGGTGTCCAGTTGCTTCTGAGGCCCTATAGTGGCCGTTCATTGCAGCTGCATATTCACCAGCTGATATCCATGTGACTTCCTGTGTAGGAAGTCACGACTGCTTGTGAGGTATCTTATACATAGCATCGTTTAATCTACGTAATTTGCATTACATTCAAAATAAGCAGCTCACATATTCTGTATCCTGTGGCCATCACCATGGACCTTCTCATAACGTCCGTTTGGTGATCCAGGCTTGCAATGTTCATTGGATTTCCCTTGGTGCTGTCTCCATCTGTACTACTAAGCTGATGTCGCTGATGTTCCAACAGCATGAGCATTGACGGGCACAGAATCAGGATGCCATGCTCGGCCACAGAATTGCGCATGTCGACGATTTTGCTGCGAGGGCATGGAATTGATCGGCAATGTCAATAACACTGACAGAAGAGGTTTCATTGGAACCCACCGGTGGCACATCTGTTTCCTAATAATCCTGAGTTTACAGTATGAGCAGGATTGTGATTTTGGGCAATACACCACATCTGTTGTGTGACATCAAATTTGATCGTCATCAAGCACAAAGCGGCATAGTTGTGGGATGACGCCTTCCCACCTGCAAGCCATCGATTAATTTGCAAGTGACCATCGAAAACATTGAGCGCGTAGAGCGCAATATCTCAATTCTTAAAATTCATTTTCACCCATGGCAGAATGGACAGACAGTCCTTCATTTGGCAGCTCAAGGAGGATCTACAGGAGTAGTCAGCTGCCTGTTGGAATGCTGCGATGCCGCCTTGCTGAGCGCCAAGACTGAGGTGGGGCAGAACTGGTCACAAACACTTTTGGACTGTCAGGGAATGCCACTGTTGTGACTTACCGAAAATACCTCACGCTGTGAGCCCTCTGGGGCAATGGAATGCGGCGAGGGGGGCTCTTAGCCTGCAGCAGCTGTACCTCCGCCAATCGCAACAGGCGGCTTTGCATGGATCCCCAAAGCATGTTGGGCCATGGCTCAGCGGACTGCGCGTTGACCGTTAGTTGACCACCCCCTAAACGCCATTGACCAGCCGTTCACCGACCATTGAACAGCCGTTGACGTCACGCTCACCGCCCATCGACTCCCCTTCAGCCCAGGGCCCGGGGCAGGGCTGGCCCCTCCAATTCGTCGCCTGATGCAAGACCGGGGCCAGAAAGCGGGGGCCTGTGTTTCCCCCCCCCCCCCTCTTTCCTGCCAACCAGCATAAAGATCGCTTGTGGTCCAGTGTATTGTATCCTATGTGAACGCCATTCAATCCACTTTGTGCGAGTGCCAATAGAGCATCCATATGCTGTAATGAGGTTTACAGACTGCTGGTAAAGTACAGTAGCAGTATTTAACGTTGAAGTATGATATAAGCAAAGAACCCACTTTTCCAGTACTTTGTTCGCCCTGAATAGCACTGGAGGATATGGTTGTTGCAAACGTGTCGCGTAGGACACAGTTGTTTTCTTGCAGCGTGGTGCCCATGAAGTGCCTAGATCTAATTGCCAAATGGATGTCGAGGATCGATCTGTAATTGCGACGTGTTTGCATGTTTAATGCTCGCATTTCATTCCATGTTCTGAAATTTTCTCCAGTAATTACCCCAGCAGCTGGGCGACCTTTAGGCAGTCGGGCCAATGGCTCCTACATTTACAAAAAGGTAGATGGTCAACTACCCTGTCTCGATTCCTGGAGCCGCATTCCTGCCCGAATGCCCACTGGTCAAAAATGTGGTGGACGTTTTTCCAAGGTCACCAGGTTTTGAAACACCCTTTTAGGCAAATGTGCAGTCCACAGTGCTTTGGTGTTAAAAACAGTGGTCCATTGCCAAAGAATTGTTGTTTACACTATTTGTGGATGGTGGCTTTAGTGTGGCTATGTTGTGCAGTATGCCCATTTGACTCGTTTCGTGCCTGTGACTTTCTGTTGGCCATGCGCTGGGATTGGCTGCTCATTGTGGTCGTGCTCAGCAGTACTGCACACCCCTGCTGCATGCGTTGCGATGCCTGTGGTCAGTGATGAACCCGATCCCCACTCTTAACCATGGCATTCTCCACTGCGACGACATGGATGCAGTGGTTGGCTGCGCATTGCTTCCCACGATTGAGGCTTGGAGAAATGAGAATGCATCTGGTGTGTTGCCTGCAGTCAGGAGAGACGCCACTGATGCGCGCAGCTTTCAGTGGGCATGAGGCCATCGTCGAAATGCTCCTTGACAAGGGTGCAAACACGAGCGACAGAGATGAGGTGCGATTCTACGTGGTGGAGAAAGCTTACTGCTGCATCAGCTCGCGGTGACCAGTTGCTTCTGAGGCCCTGCAGTTGCCATTCAATGCGGTTAAATATTCACCACCGGACATCCATGTGACTACCTGTGTAGAAAGCCACGCCACGTAGTTTGCACTGTATTCAAGATAAGGAGCTCACATACTCTGCATCCTGTGGCCAGCACCATGGACCTTCTGATAACGTCCATTTTGTGATCCAGGGTTGCAATATTCATTGGATATATCTCAGTGCTACTTCCGTCTGACCCAATAGGCTGATGTCGCTGATGTTCCAACAACATATGCATTGATGGGCACAGAATCAGGACGCCATGCTTGGCCACAGAATTGGGCATTCCGGCAGTTCCGCTGCGAGGGCATGGAATTAGTTGGCATAGTCAGTCGCACTGAAAGAATAGCTTTCGTCGGATCCCATTGGTGACACATCTGTTTCCTAATAATCGTGGATTGGCAGTATTGGTAGCAATGAGATTCTGAGCAATACACCACATCTGTCGTGTGACGTCAAATTTATTCATGATCAAGCAAAAGCAGTGCAGAAATGGGATGACGCCTTCCCACCTTCAAGCCATTGATTGAAAGCAGCTGGTGGAAATGACCATCGAAAACATTAAGGGCTTACAGCACAATATCGCAATTCTAATTTCTTTTTCTCACCAATGGCAGAATGGACAGACAGTCCTTCATTTTGCAGCTAAAGGAGGATCTACGGAAGTAGTCAGCTGCCTGTTGCAACGCTGCGATGCCGCCTTGCTGGGCGCCAAGACTGAGGTGGGGCAGAACTGGTCATGAACACTTTGGACTGTCACTGAATGCCACTGTTGTGGCTTTCCAGAAAAACCCTACGCTGTGAGCCCTCTGGCGCTTTGGAATGTGGCGAGGGGGCCGTTGGTGTGCGGCAGCAATACCTCCGCCAATCACAGTAGGCGGCTTTGCATGGATCCCCAAGGCACATCGGCCTGTGGCCCAGCGGACTGCACGTTGACCGTTAGTTAGCCGCCCCTATACGCCATAGAACAGCCGTTGACATCACGCTCATTGCCCGTCGACTGCCCTCCAGCCCAGGGCCCAGCGCAGGGCTGGCCCCTCCAATCCGTCGCCTGATGCAAGACAATGGCCAGAAAGGGGGCGCGTGCGCGTCGCCCCCCAAGGCCACCCAACCAAGCTTTCCCCACAACCAGCATGAAGATCGCTTGTGGCCCAGTGTGTTGTATCCTATATGAACGCCATTGAATCCACTTTGTGTGGTTGTCAATGGAGCATCCATACGCTGTAATGGGCTTTACAGACTACTGGTAAAGTACTGCAGCAGTATTTTACATTGAAGTACGATATAAGCAAAGAACTCATTTTTGAGTGCTTTGTTTTACATGAATAGCACTGGACGATATGCTTGTTGCAAACATGCCACGTGGGACACAGTTGTTTTCTTGCAGGGTGGTGCTGATGAACTGCGTAGATCTAATTGCAGAATGGATGTCAAGGATCGCTCTGTAATTGCAACGTGTTTGCATGTTTAGCCCTGTTTCATTCACAATGTTTCATTCTCGTATTCTGAAATTTTCTCCAGTAAGTACCACAGCAGCTGGGCGACATTTGGGCAGTCGGGCCGATAGCTCCTACATTCGCAAAAGAGTAGATGGTCATCTACCCTGTTTCGATATCTGGAGTGGCACTCCTGCATGATTGCCCACTGGTCAAAAGTGTGGCGGAAGTTTTTCCCAGTAAACCAAACTTTGCAACACCCCTTTAGGCAAATGTGCCAGTGGTGCACAGTGCTTTGGCAGTAAAAAAGTGGTCCATTGCACAAAAATTGTTGTTTACTCTATTTGTGGACAGTGGCGTTGGTGTGGCTATTTTTTGCAGTATGCCCATTTGACACTTTTTATGCCTAGGACTTTTCATGGGCCATGCGCTGATATTGGTTGCTCGTTTTGGTTGTGCTCAGCAGTACGGAACACCCCTGCTGCATGATTGTGGTTCCTGTGGTCGGCGATGAACCTGACGCCCACTCTCTGACCATGGCATTCTCCACTGTGATGACGTGGATGCAGTGGTTGGCTGTGCATCGCTTCTCACAATTGAGGCTTTGAGAATTGAGAATGCGTCCGGTGTGTTGCCTGCAGGCAGGAAGCACGGCACTGATGACAGCTGCTTTCGACGTGAACAGCGCCATTGTTAAGATGCTCCTTGACAAGGGTGCCAACACGAGCGACAGAGATAAGGTGCGATACTCCGTGGTCGAGAAAATCGTACTACCGCATGGACTCGCAGTGTCCGGTTGCTTCTGACGCCCTACAGTTGCCGTTCAATGCGGTTGCATGTTCACCACCCGATATTCATGTGACTCCCTGTGTAGGAAGCCACGCCTGTTTGTGAGGAATGTTGTGCATTGTGGCTTTTGATCTACGTAATTTGCACCATGTTGAAAACAAACAGCTCACATACTCCATATCCTGTGGCAAGCACCATTGACCTTGTGATAACGTCCGTTTTGTGATCCAGGGTTGCAATATTCATTGGATTTCCCTTGGTGCTGTTTCCATCTGTACTGTTTAAGCTGATGTCGCTGATGTTCCAGCAACACGAGCATTTGACAGGCACAGAATCAGGACGCCATGCTCGACCACGGAATTGCGCATGTCGGCGATTTAGCTGTGAGGGCATGGAATTAATCGGCAATGTTAATCACACTGAGAGAATAGCTTTCATCGGATCCCACCGGCGACACATGTGTTTGCTAATAATGCTGAGTTTACGTTATGAGTAGGAAGGTGATTTTGGGCAATACACTGTTACAGCTAGAACTGATTGAGTGTTGTTGATAACTGAATGCATGAAAAGATGATGAAGCACTAGGAATTGCATTAAGGATGTTGATGAACGGACTGAATATAAAGAACAGAACGCCTGTTGTCCTTTTGACTCAGCTGTAAACCATTGCCGTGGACTCGAGCGTACAATTCCCTTTCAGGGATCGCCACCCCTTGACCCTGCCTGCCTTCGTCAACACCACATCTGCTGTATGACGTTAGATTAATCATCATCAAGCAGAGAGCAGCGCAGATGCGGGATGGCGGTTTTCCACCTTCCAAGCCATCGATCGAAAGCAGCTGGTGGAAATGACCATCAAAAACATTGAGCACGTACAGCACAATATCACAATTCTGAAATTTTTGTTTCACCTGTGGCAGGATGGATGGACAGTCCTTCATTGCGCAACTGAAGGAGGATCGACAGAAGTAGTCAGCTGTCTGTTGCAACGCTGCGATGCCGCCTTGCTGAGCGCCAAGACTGAGGTGGGGCAGAAATGGTCACAAACACATTTGGATTGTCAGGCAATGCCACCGCTGTGGCTTCCAAAAAACCCGCGTTGTGATCCCTTTGGCGCGTTGGAATGCAACGAAGGGGACCGTTGGTGTGCGGCAAAGGTACTTCTGCCAATCACAACAGGCGGCTTTGCGTGGATCCCCAAGGCACGTCGGCCTGTGGCCCAGCGGACTGTGTGTTGACCGTTGGTTGTCCACCGCTTAAACGCCGTTAACCAGCCATTCACCAACCGTTGAACAGCCATTGACGTCACGCTCACCGCCCATCGGCCGCCCTTGAGCCCATGGCCCAGGGCAGGGCTCGCCCCTCCAATCCATCGGCTGATGCAAGACAGAGCCCAGAAAGGGGGCGCGTGTGCGTCACCTCCCAAGGCCACCCAATCAAACTTTCCCCGCAACCAGCACAAAGATCGCTTGTGGTCCAGTGTGTTGTATCCTATGTGAACGCCATTGGATCCACTTTGTGTGAGTGCCAATGGAGCATCCATATGCTGTAATGGGCTTTATAGACTACTGGTAAATTACTGCAACAGTGTTTTACGTTGAAGTATGATATAAGCAAGGAACCCTTTTCCCCAACTTTGTTCGGCCTCAATAGCGCTGGAAGATGTAGTTGTTGCAAACGTGCTGCGTAGGACACAGTTGTTTTCTTGTGGGGTGCTTCCAACAAAAAATGCCAAGATCTAATTAGGTTAGAACCCTGCGCGCTCCATGCACAATGTGCTTTTGTGGGGTAACCCGGCCCCTGGGGTACCCGCTCTTGAATATTGATTCTTCGAGTTGCTGCATTTTTAATTTGAAATAGTGGCGTTGCCTAGATTCAATCGAGGAATGGATGTCGAGGATCGCTCTGCGATTGCGACATATTTGCGTGTTTAACACTCGCACTTCATTCCCCAATTCTGTAAATTTCTCCAGCGATTGCCCCAGCAGCTGGGTGACCGTTGGACAGTCGGATCGATGGCTCCTACATTCACAAAATCGTAGATGGTCATCTACACTGTTTCGATTCCAGGGGCCGCATTCCCGCCCGATTGCCCACTGGTCAAAAGTGTGGCGGACGTTTTCCCAGTAAACCAAACTTTGCAACACCCCTTTAGGCAAATGTGCCAGTAGTCCAGAGTGTTTTGGCGTTAAAAACAGTGGTCCATTGGCCAAACTTGTTGTTTACACTATTAGTGGACAGTGGCGTTGGTGTGGCTATGTTGTGCAATATGCCCATTGGACTCTTTTTGTGCCTGGGGCTTTCCGTGGGCTATGCGCTGGCACTGACTGCTCGTTTTGGTTGTGCTCAGCAATGTTGCACACCCCTGCTGCATGCATTGTGACTCCTGTGGTCGGCGATGAACCTGAGGCCCACTCTTAATTATGGCATTCTCCACTGTGACGACATGGATGCAGTGGTTGGCTGCGCACCGCTTCCCACGATTGAGGCTTTGAGAAATGAGAATGTGTCGTGTGTGTTGGCTGCAGGCAGGAGAGACTGCACTGATGCGCGCGGCTCTCAGTGGGCACGATGCCATCGTCAAAATGCTCCTTGCCAAAGGTGCCGACACGAACGACAGAAAAAAGGTGCGATTCTACGTGGTCGGAAAAATTGTACTGCTGCATCGACTCGCGGTGTTCAGTTGTGTCTGAGGTCCTAGAGTGGCCGTTCAATATGGTTGCATATTCGCCACCTGATATCCATGCGACTTGCTGTGTAGAAAGTCACGCGTACTTGTGAGGAGTCTTATACATAGCATCGTTTAATCTACGTAATTTGCATTGCGTTCAAAATAAGCAGCTCACATACTCCATATCCTGTGGCCAGCACCATGAACCTTGTCATAACGTCCGTTTGGTCATCCAGGGTTGCAATATTCACTGGATTTCCCTTGGTGCTGTTTCCATCTGTACTACCAAGCTGATGTCGCTGATGTTCCAACAGCATGAGCATTGACGGGCACAGAATCAGGACGCCATGCTCGGCCACGGAATTGCGCATGCCGACGATTTTGCTGTGAGGGGATGGAATTAATCGGCAGTGTCAATTACACTGAGAGAAGAGCTTTCATCGGATCGCACCGGTGGCACATCTGTTTCCTAATAATCCTGAGTTTACAGTATGAGCAGGAATGTGATTTTGGGCAATACACCACATCTGTTGTGTGACATCAAATTTGATCATCATCAAGCACAATGTAGCGCAGATGTGAGATGGCGCCTTCCCACCCTCAAGCCATCGACTGAAAGCAGCTGGTGGAAATGACCATCAAAACATTAAGCGCTTACAGCATAATATCGCAATTCTGAAAGTCTTGTTTCGCCCGTGGCAGCATGGATGGACAGTCCTTCATTGCGCAGCTGGAGGAGGATCAACAGAAGTAGTCAGCCGCCTGTTGGAACGCTGCGATGCCGCCTTGCTGAGCGCCAAGAGTGAGGTGGGGCAGAGCTGGTCACGAACACTGTTGGACTGTCAGCAAAAAAAAAAACGCGTTGTGGTCCCTTTGGCGCATTGGAATGCGGCGAAGGGGACCATTGGGGCAATGGTACTTCTGCCAATCACAACAGGCGGCATTGCATGGATCACCAAGGCACGTCGGCCTGTGACTGTTGACCAGCCGTTGACTTCACGCTCACTTCCCGTCGACTGCCCTTCAGCCCAGGGCCTGGGGCAGGACTGGCCGCTCCAATCTGTCGCCTGATGCAAGACAAGGGGCAGAAAGGGGGCACCTGTGGGTGGTCCCCCAAGGCCATTCGAGCAAATTTGCCCCCAGCGAGCAGAAAGATCGCTTGTAGTCCAGTTTATTGTATATTGTGTGAACGCCGTTGAACAGCCGTTGACTCAACGCTCACTGCCCGTCGACTGCCCTTCAGCCCAGGTCCCAGGGGAGGGCTGGTCTCTCCAATCCGTCGTCTGATGCAACGCAGGGGCCTGAAAGAGGGCGCGCGCAGGTGGCCTCCCAAGGCCACCCGACCAAATTTTCCCAGCAACCAGCACAAAGATCGCTTGTGGTCCAGTGTGTTGCATCCTATGTGAACACCATTGAATCCACTTTGTGTGAGTACCAACGGAGCATCCATACGCTGTAATGGGCTTTATAGACTGCTGGCAAAGTACTGCGGCAGTATTTTACATTGAAGTATGATACAAGCAAGGAACGCATTTTTCCGGTAATTTGTTTGGCCTGAATAGCACTGGAGGATGTGCTTGTTGCAAACGTGCCACGTAGGACACAGTTGCTTTCTTGTGAAGAGTTGCTGATGAGAAATGCCAAGATTTAATTGCAGAATGGATGTCGAGGATTGCTGTGTAATTGCGACCTGTTTGCATGTTTAAAGCCCGCATTTCATTCCCGAATTCTGAAACTTTCTCCAGTAAATACCCCAGTAGCTGGGCGACATTTGGGCAGTCGGGCCAATGGCTCCTGCATCTTCAAAAGCGTAGATGGTCATCTACCCTGTTTCGATTCCTGGAACCGCATGCCTGATTGCCCACTGGTCAAGAGTGTCCATGAACGTTTTTCCAAGGGAACCAAACTTCGAAACACCCTTTTAGGCAAATGTGCCAGTAGTCCACATTGCTTTGGCGGTAAAACAGTGAACTATTGCCCAAAACTTGTGGTTTGCACTATTTGTGGACAGTGACGTTGGTGTGGATATACTGTGCAGTGTGCCCATTTGACTCTTTTTGTGCCCGGGATTTTCTGTGGGCCATGCACTGGTATTGGTTGCTCGTTTTGGTTGTGCTCTGCGGTGTTGAACACCCCTGCTGCATGATTGTGGTTCCTGTGGTCGGCGATGAACCTGACGCCCACTCTCTGACCATGGCATTCTCCACTGTGATGACGTGGATGCAGTGGTTGGCTGTGCATCGCTTCCCACAATTGAGGCTTTGAGAATTGAGAATGCGTCCGGTGTGTTGCCTGCAGGCAGGAACCACGGCACTGATGACAGCTGCTTTCGACGGGAACAGCGCCATTGTTAGGATGCTGCTTGACAAGGGCGCTAACACGAGCGACAGAGATAAGGTGCGATACTCCGTGGTCGAGAAAATCGTACTACCGCATGGACTCGCAGTGTCCAGTTGCTTTGGACGCCCTACAGTTGCAGTTCAATGCGGTTGCATGTTCACCACCCGATATTCATGTGACTCCCTGTGTAGGAAGCCACGCCTGTTTGTGAGGAATATTGTGCATTGTGGCTTTTGATCTACGTAATTTGCACCATGTTGAAAACAAACAGCTCACATACTCCGTATCCTGTGGCAAGCACCATTGACCTTGTGATAACGTCCGTTTTGTGATCCAGGGTTGCAATATTCATTGGATTTTCCTTGGCGCTGTTTCCATCTATACTGTTTAAGCTGATGTCGCTGATGTTCCAGCAACACGAGCATTTGACAGGCACCGAATCAGGACGCCATGCTCGACCACGGAATTGCGCATGTCGGCGATTTAGCTGCGAAGGCATGGAATTAATCGGCAGTGTCAATTACACTGAGAGAATAGCTTTCATCGGATCCCACCGGCGACACATCTGTTTGCTAATAATGCTGGGTTTACGTTATGAGTAGGAATGTGATTTTGGGCAATACATCACATCTGTTGTGTGACGTCAAGTTTAGTCATCATTAGAGCACAAAGTAGCGAAGATGTGGGATGGCGCCTTCCCACCTTCAAGCCATCGATTGAAAGCAGCTGGTGGAAATGACCATCAAGAACATTGAGCACGTACGGCACTTTATCGCAATTCTGAAAATTTTGTTTCACCCGTGGCAGGATGGCTGGACAGTCCTTCATTGCGCAGCTCAAGGAGGATGTACAGAAGCAGTCAGCTGCCTGTTGGAACGCTGCGATGCTGCCTTTCTGAACGCCACGACTGAGGTGGGGCAGACCTGGCCACGAGCGCCTTTGGACTGTCAGGCAAATACGGCGAGGGGGCCCGTTGGCGTGTGGCAACGGTACCTCCGCCAGTCACAACAGGCGGCTTTGCATGGATCCCCAAGACACGCCGGCCTGTGACCCAGCGGGCTGCGCGTTGGCCATTACTTGACCGCCCCCTATACGCCGTTCACCAGCCGTTCAGCACTTTACTAGCAGTCCACAAAGCCCATTACAGTGTATGGATACTCCATTGGCACTCACACAAAGTGGATTCAATGGCGTTCACATAGGATACAACACACTGGACCAGTTAGGTTGGGTGGCCTTGGGGGGCGACAACTCGTGTTCTGCCTGGGACTTCTCGTAAGGCAAGCACTGGTGTTGATTGCTTATTTTGGTTGTGCTCAGCGGTGTTGGACCCTCGTGCTGCATGCATGGTGATGAACCTGATGTTCGTGCTTATCACCATGGCATTCTTCAGTACAGCAACGATATGGATGCGCCGCCTGGCGGTTCATCGTTTTCCACGATTGAGACACATGGAGGCAATTCGTTTAACGAACCTATTGAGGTAATGCGCCGCTGTGGCGTTGCCTGCAGGACGGGGAGACAGCACTGATGACCGCGGCTGCCTGTGGACACAGCGGCATTGTTCGACTGCTCCTGGACCAGGGTGCCGAAACGAGCAACAGAAGAAAGGTGCGGTTCTCCTTGGTCGAACAGTTTTGTGCCGCTGCTGATTCCAGTTGCATTTAGGCATGGAATGGCCATCGAATTGTCTTGCACTGTCATCAATCGCAAATCGCGGGTGGTCACATCTGTCTATGGTGTACCTTGCGCATTGTAGTGTACAAGTGTATTTAGTGTCTTGTTTCTAAAAAGCAATGAACATAATCCGCGTTGAATAATCACAGCCATCAAACTTATGATCACATCCGTTCTGTAGTTGCAGGTTGTGTGTATTTCTTTGTTTCCTTGTACATTTAAAATTATCTGACAACTTGGGCTCGCCACTGCCCATTCCGTAGCAAGGGTGAATCTTGTGGCCCCACCCAGTACTGCACATCAGGAAAAGAAAGGCACCCGTGACGTCCGTGGAAATCAGTGTTGGGGGGATATCTAATTGGGAATATGACCAAGACACAGTGTTCAGCCACTGAACTGTGCATCCTGGGAACTCCCCTGGGAACTCTCATGTGGGAAATTTCCACAAATGTTAAGAACATTGAGAGAATGCGCTGCACCATGTCGTAGGGCTAGCGTATCCCTTCTTGCACAAACGGCACCATACTAAATATGCAGCACCGGCAGAAATGTGATTCAGGCGATGCACCACACCTGGTGGATGGCATCAAATTGGCAATTTATCATGCAGCAGGACGAACAGGTATGAGACGATGCCTTTGCACCGTTGAGTACTGGATCGTTTGGAAGTAACCCCAGAAAAAATGCATTGGCACGTTTTGTACATGGTCGCAACTCCTGACAATTTGTGTTGCCCGCATGACAGGATGGCAACACAGTCATGCATGCTGCAGCTTTTGGAGGATCGACAGAAGTGGTCTGCTGCCTGTTGGAGCGCTGTGACGCAGCCTTGCTGAGTGCCAAAGCCGAGGTGGGGCGGGAGGTGCCACAAGACTTTGTTTGTGGATTGGTGGGCCTTTCGCTTCCTGCTGCCTTTTGCACCGTCGTCCTGATTCATTCTTGCGGCTGCATTTGATTTTTGCATAGTCGCCGCCATCCTCACAACCGCCATGTATCCATTTCATGCAGTCGTTCACATGCTCGATCATTTTCGCGGAAAGGTGCCACCTGCTCCAGTTGGTCCACGTGAATGATTGCAGTATTGGTTGATAATGACTGACGGCTGAGTTGCGTTTTACATGCAGGATGGGAGGACACCGCTGATGGTCGCAGTTGACAAGGGGAGACGACGCCGTTGCGGGGCTTCTGGAGGTCGAGAGAAGTCATTCCGAAGAGGGCTCAATGTCCCCGACGATCGATGCGGGTCCAACAAGTATTGGGCATTTAGAAAAGCGGTAGGAATCCCGATATGGAGTGCTTTGGTGCCAAATATTCGATAAATTTTCGTTTCATGGTCAGTGCTTTCCAGTTGCGGTCGCGCTGTTGCTTTCATCAGTTCTTGAGACAATGCGGATTGTCAGGTCCGAATTGGGGCGTTCTCAGTGTATCTATTTGTGGGCTTTGCAATGGTATGCTTCTTGATTGTCGGTCTTTCAGTAATTGCTGCCGCCAAGGCGCAAGGGTCGTCTCTACCGCTCTGCGGTCTCTGGCGATGTGGTAGGGAATAGGAGATGTGGATAAGATTTGCACTGCTTGTTGTTCGCAGCACCGCACAATGACCACCGCTTCACTGGGTGGATCGCTTATGCGTTTTGATGTGCGACTTGTGTGCGCTTCAAGAATGTGGTTTATATGCAAGGCATTCTGAGTCTGTAAAAAGAAAGAAAAATGTGGTTTAGAATTCACAGAATTATTTCTTTTATGATGGGACTCTTGTGAGCATCAATTTGATTGTTATGGGGGATGCCATCTGATTCAGAGACAAACGCTATGGTTGGGGTCGCTCTTGCAATTGAAATATTTCTACGTTGCCATTGAGTGTATGGGCAGCTTTTGTGGCACGTGTTTTATAGAGTGGATAGCATTGTGGCGATGAGTGAGCATCTCTGAAGCGTCATATGGCTGGCTAATGATGGATGATGGTTCTCGTCATGTGGAAAGAATTGTTCTGTTGGTGCAAGGACATTCGAACTGTTCGGTTGCAGGGTTCGTTGCCATCGTTGGCAAGGCTCGTCGTTGTGGGAAGGGTGAACAAATATGTAAGCCCCGGGGGTTTTGTGTGTGGCTGTGGCCTTATGTGTGGGTGTGGCCTTGCTGTGGCCGTGGCGTTGCATGTGTCCATGCGCCAACGCTCTTATAGCACTGGCGATTGTGGATTCTGTCTTCCTGTGTGCACTCCAAAGGGGGCCGTTTGAATTGCATCAACGGCCTTTCCTTCAAGACTGTGTGTTTGAGGGGATGGCGTCACCATGGGGGCAAGGTTAAGATAGTTAATACGGGGGGGCTTCAGTTGTCGCTAGATGGAGAAAGGAATATTCAAAGCATGTGGAGAAGATATTTCAGAGCTCTGAGATGCAGGGAAGGGTTAATTGGTCAGATTGTAGCACTCCAGAGATGCTGAAACAGTGCCGATGATGAATTACCTTGCTATGGGGCCAACAAAGTATTGGGTGAATGAAACGGACTTGCTCAAGTGTGACTGAAGCACAGCGGTGGTTCAGATCAGTGCGAGGCCAACGAAGCCCGTGGGTCGGAATCAGTGAAGCTTTATTGTTGCATTAGCGGGCACAGTTGGGTCATTTGCAATACCCAGAAAGTACTGTGATTTTCGGTGTTCTTACTCGCTATTTGGGGCAGTTTCGGTGGCGTAGCACAACTGCAACCTAACCACGCGCCCCCAACTTGAGATATCATTTGAGAAGAGCAAAGGCATATCTCCCACATTCGCCAATGCCAGTTGTGGGCGGGTAATTTCGGGCAAGATAGTGGAACCGGTGGCCATTTCGTCATCACACATGGCATCATGCAACAATAGTGTTGGAATTGCGTCGTTTTGTGCATCCATGCTGCTTCCGACTTTAGGGAAACTTGAACTGCAATGCAGACATCTATTGTTGCAAAGTTCCCATCTACCATGGCCCCTCCTTGTTGCCATCCCCATGTTTTCCTAATCTCCACTGCTCATCATCTTGCCAATCGCACCCGACGCTGGTGTTTGATACAAGCTGGTCAGCCCGTAACCTCTATCTGTCATCACCCCCGTGTCACGCCAGCGAGCTGGGGATGAAGTGAAGGACATTGAGCGCGCGTGGAAAAAGCTCGTGCGAAAAAATTGCTTTCATGCGGATGCACCACTTGAATAGCACTTTGTTGCTGCCCACTTTGCAACTTTCCCCATTTTGCACAGCTGTTCGGGTCGCCAATAGTGGGCTGCATCAGAAAGCTTATTATCACTAGTAGAAAACAGCCTGTTTGCAATGCCAACTGCGATTCCATTTGACACCAATTGATGCCATCGCAGCGCCTTTTACGCTCTCACAATCACTGTGACGGCACCATTCTGTGTCAATATGGCATCGCTGTTGGCATCGCAAACATGACCGTTTTTACCAGTGTGTACTAACGGCATCAGTCAGCTGGCGACCTGTGGGATCTAGAAGCGGCGGAAAGGAGATGTCGGCAACCTCAGCACCTTCGCCACACTGACTATCATTCAGCAAGCGGGGGATCAATGAGGCGGAAAGAACCCAAACACATCAATCAGGGGTGCTCTGGAAGTTTCCATTGTATCAAGCTTAAGGCGTTGAGAATGCAAGGAAACGACTTCGATGACAGACAGAGCCTACAGCAGCCTTCCCAAACGCCCAAAGAGTCCAAAGTGATGCAGGAGAGATGCTGAGCACAACGCCAATACATGGCAGCGTGTCACACTGGAACGCCGATGCCGGACATGCCCGCCCTGACGTACTGAGACGCACCCAGGTCGGCGTGGGGCGCATGCGTTTGCTTTGGCAAGGGGGTGCAGTCATGCGCAACCCAGTGTGTTGGACGCAGAGTGATTTGGCGGGTCAGGCTGCGTCGGTTTTTCCGAGCAATTCCCGTTGATCGAGCCGAGACGGCCATGGCTGGCCATGGTGCTGCCGATGAGGGATGGCAACCGTTGGGCCGAATCGCCGATTGCCACGGATTGAGAAGGAAGTGCCCGGGGGCAGTTGCGGGGAAGAGGCAGGCCTTGCGACCTTCGTGGTCGGCTGTGTGGCAAAGCGCTGTGAGTTGGAGCGAGCGGGGGGCCGTGGATGCGCGGAACGGGAAGTGGCAGAGTCGGAACGGCATCGGTGCGGATGTGAGAAAATTTCTAATGTACTGCAGACCAGACTTGTTATCCTGTCATGGTGGTGGGAAATTCAGGTGTCCCATGGTATGCAGGCTGCACAGGGCTGTGCCACCAGCTCAGAGGAAGATGGCCTGTCACGAAAGGGCTGGGTGCCCTCAGGACGAAAGTTAGTATCGTGAACATTGATCAAAATCTGGATCTGAATGCATCAATCAGTGACAAATCTGCACTAAATCACAACATTTGCCTGCCTTTCCCGTCTTGCTTCTCTTGTCAAAAATAGCGAAAGCAAACGCGTGCTGGAACGGTAAGCTGCTAAATTGGGTGTTCTCGTGTAAGATGGGGAAACGCCGCGGATGCTTGCAGCTCGCAATGGAAACGATGCCGTTGCTGCGCTTCTGGACACCGAGAGAAGGGGTGTTCAAGATGCCTTAGTTTTCACAGCGGCGGACGCAGTCCCATCAAAGAAAGGTCCCACAAAGAAGAACTTTCGAAGAAGATCAATAGCGGAAAGCCATACAGCTCACTTGGCTTTGTAAATCCCTGCCGTGGCAGCCGTCAAACACGATGTTCTGCTAGTGAAGTCGTCTTTATTGCAATAGGAAGAAAGGACCGAATACCGCGAGTTCAAAAGTGTACAAAGTTTACGGACATGTGTTATTTTTGTGTTCTTAACGTGCAGAATTTTGAAGAAATGCGTTTTACGTGTGTTCACAAAAGTGTTATTTGGCCCTTTTTTCTAGTGTTGCTTGCATCGTGCCAGGTGCATAATAGACTTACCGGTTGTCCAAACAGGAACGTTCCTCTTGAGTTTATGGCGTGCATCTTCTTACGTAACTGTCTGCTTTATGAAAGTAGATTTTATCGGACAGTCGGCTCCTGGAGCAACAGGGGGTCGCCGCCGCCCTGCAGCACCTGGTCGTTTGAAGAGCCGCAATCGAATGGAGATGTTGGGGCGCGGATCCGTGTGCACGTGTGCGCTGAGCATGGCGTGCAGACGCACGACCGGAAAGGCCTGCGGGAGACGCTGATCCTTCTGCATGTCACAGGTGTGCAGATGGCAAAAGAGAGGCTTTCAGTGCGAGCGATATACCTGTCGGACGTGGGAATAGGCAGCAATGCAGGAATAGAACACACGCTGTAGCTAGCGTGCCACGCCCATGCTCCGTCGCATCTATCATCTTCACTAATGCTATGCTTACATGCAGTATACATGCAGCATATATGCGGTTCTGAGAGCTGGGCTGATTTTTGCGCTGTGGGTTACCGTTTCCCCACTTAGTAGCCGCAAAATTCTGTATTATCAGGGCAATTGCTGAAGTTGACGGCAAGTTGCCTTTGAACAAGATTTCTGCCATCCAGTGCTTTGAAGAGTGCATCTCCCTGAGAACACGGTTTGTGTTATTTGTGGCATCCTCCCATGCTAGCTCTTGAGTGTGCACACAACTGACGCGTCTGTGGCCACCAACCTCCCAGAGTGCAGGTTTGGGAAATGGGCGCCAAATTCCAACGCGCACAAATGTCATACTTTTGAAAGGCTCCAACACTAGCGCCCATTTGTACCCACACAAAACGCTCTGGCCTGGAAGTGCCGTGCACACAGAATCTACTGGCAAATAGGTCGGATGGTAGTCCGCTATATCCATATTTGAAATACCAGTGCCCCCCGTGCACCAAATACGTTACTGTGACTTTTATGGCCCCTCAGAATTCCCGGCAAGTCAGCGCCGCAGTAAGGTTGATACCACCGTGATCCCCGCCAACGCCAATGAAAGAACATCTCCTGATTGCGGCACTGCTTTGCTAATGAAAGTGACTATTTTATCAATGGGTTTCAGCCAAGGGCTACGTTGGGTGAGGTGGCTATGCTTGATGGGAGTTGCGCGATCAACCATCCCGAGCATGTGCAGCATAGCCGCCATCCTCGGCAAGGGCAAAGACGTCTCGAGCAAAATTTCGTTTTCTGCCCACTCCAACATTCCTGGCTGCCACTCCTTCCACTCCGCAAGCCTGTACGTACTGCCTTCATGCACACCGGGGTGTGCTCACCGCTGTGTTGACGCATTTTTGGGCCTTTTTACGATTGAAAACATAAAAACTAATTTTTCATGTAAAAAAGCAAATATACCCAATTCCACGGCGCAAATAACACACATGGGCGTGTGGATGAGATCAATACCGGGGCCCAGCATTGTATATTTTCAACACCCCCATCAGCTGCACTTCCGATTTCCAGATCTTCCTACAGTAACGAGCTCAAGCAAGTTTTCATGTCGCCTTTCAGAAACGCGAAGCGCCCCTCCTGCGAGCGTTTCAAGGCGTACCCCAATCCCCGTATCCATGGTACCCTATTGCTAATTGCCCAATCGCGTAATTCAGCAACATTTACCACTGCGCATCCCCCATGTCATTGCCGTGACGTCGCTTCAACATGCTGAAATTGAACCGAAGGAGCCTGAGCGAAATGGAGAGGCTCCTGCACGGCACTGAAGAGAGATTCCTTTAAAGTTGGAGACACCACTCTCGCAGTACCTAGGCACTGCAAACAAGCATGCTCGGCCCATTCTGTAATATGCAGTGCTTCTTGCGAACCACTGCTCGTTTGTGGAGAACGATTAAACACTTTAACTTACCATGGAGCATTATCGATCATCCGAATTAACTAACCAATCAGTGTATTCTCTTTCGACAAGCGCTTTAGACAAGTACTTATTGCACTTTCGCTTTTACTTCTTAAATGCATTTAGCGGCAAGGGGTGGGCGTGAGCAATGTTGATGGTATTAAGAGGTGGGAAAGGAATTCGTCATGGTGTGTGATTCACACGAAATTGGCAACGCTATTTCATCACTACCGGGAGACGTCTGCATCATCTTCAACAAGACGTAAAGGATACAGACATTCCGATATTCCTATAATCGTGGTTCATATCGCGAAATTATAGTGCGAAAGGACCGTGCATGCCATTTGGTTTTGTGTGAGGGGGACCTGGTCGTCTTTTTTCTGACAACCTCGCTGAAGGCTGCCTGAGCTGAGGTTGCTTTTTTCCCATCTTTTGTCCGACGCTGTTCCCGATTCCGGCCCGCGTTGGCAAATGTTAACAATTCTGGTAATGTACTGGCCATCCCGTTTCCCCGCTCACTTTCGCCGTCCGGCTGTCACCGGATGGCACAATGCCCCTCATGTCATCGCCTCCCGTCGCAGACAATCAAAGGCCCAGCGTACCAAAATCGACATGGTGCCTTCCCTACATTTACCACGCACGTCCGAGGTGAACAGCGCATTTTGGAGCCAAGATGGAGGGTTTGCTCCCACAGCAGTACAGGTCAAATTTCATGGCTTGGGTCAACGCTACCGTGTGGCACCCGCCAGCCACAAGAAGGGAGCATGGCTGTAACCACCAAAGAGTATTTGACAACATCAACAGCTGCTACCATGAACATATGTAGGCGACCTCTTCGTGGCGACATCGCACCTTCATTTGAGCGTCCAGCACAGTGTTTCCATCTCGCAGCTGAGCTGCACAATGTATGGCAGCAAGTGCGCCAAGCCAACGCAAGGAGCGCTGGTCCGGGGCTGCTATTGCGGCGCCACTGCATGCCGCGCCCACGCCCTCCTTCGGCGGCAGGCGCAAGGGGGTAGCAAGGCGCAGCAGCATTTTACAGTGTATTGTACAAGGCGCAGCAGCATTTTACTATATTGTAAGCAAATATTGCAGCAAGGATACATTGTGTATTGTAGAACATATTATAGCGTATGCTGGCATGTACCAGTTCTTGAGCACTCTGCAGCACTTGCTCGTGCTACTTTCTCTCCAAGGGCATCGGAAGCCTTTCACAGGGTGGGTGGGTGGGTGGGTGGGTGGGGCTCCCAGTCAGTGCTGGGAGAGCGGTCGTTCCTTTGCAATAAGCCGCGATTTCCATGCGTCGCTCAGTGGCAGGATTCGCGTGGATGGGCTGGAAGTCGTCTACGGGTGACTTTCCGCCCATCCGCGGCAAAGTGGATGCAGTTCGGCTAATGATCCCGCAGCACCAACGTGAAGACCATACGTCCCCTTGATGCGTCGGTTCAAAGACAAGAAAGACAGACAAGCCAAGAAGGCGGCGCACAACTGCCCAAAGTCTTCTGTTCAGGCTTTGTGGTTCCCAAGATTCCCTAACACTGTCAGCGATGGCCGGCACCGTGAGCCAGCCACAACACTGGCCCTCTGGCCGCGTCTCCAGACGTCCAACGACCGCTGAAACTGTCACCTTCCTCACAGCTTCTTTCGAGCACTTCGGAGTGTGAAGTAGTGCCGAAGTAGCCGTTTGGGTGCGAGGAGATGGCAGGAGGGTACCTGCTTTGAAGGTTAACGTGCGCAGGCCCCGATCTCGGTGAGAAGCAAAGCGGATTGCACAATTAGAGCACTCTCGAGAAGCTGTTTCGGCAGGAATATCCCTGTCAAATGAATAATCGCTTGTGCTTTCATGCCTGGGACCTGTTCATTTCTCAATCCGCCACTTCACTCATTCAGTATTCGTTCGTCTTGGGGATTGCGCTTCATTTCACGTCGTTCTTGTGAGCTGGTTTGCTTTGCCTTGGATTATGGCCACAGTCCAACCCTTTTCCGGGAAAGTGGTAATAGGCTCGAGTACTTCAAACACTGCTAGTCTCAAATAGCTTTTCGCACTGCGTGCCGCGCAGTACAAAGGTCATGCGCTGCATGCCTCCTGGTGTGCAAAAAGGCACGCTACTGGCCTGTGTCGGGTCGCCACGTGATGAGATGGGCAATGCACATTGCCGCACACTCCCCCTAAAAACCATTGCTTTCTCTTGTAGAGTTCTTTCATCCCTGATTGTTCGAGCGAGCATCGCCCTATGCCTGGCCTTGCTGGCCAAAAAATACCTATTTCGTTGCCCAGGCACCCACCAGCTTAACCCAGCGCAAAGCTCGACAGTGCTGGTCTGGGACATCGAGCGCATGACTGAATCCACCTGTGTTCGGATGACTGATCTGCACAGGCTCCCCGCCAGTGGGCTCCTGGAGAATTCCCAGGTTCTTTATTCTGGTATTAGTTTGTCGTGTTGGGTCAGATTGCAGCAGCCCGATCCTAATGGCCTCTCCCCTCACCACGCCGAGGACAGAATCAAGTGCCAGAAACTGGCGAGACAGCTTGCCAAGAATAGGACGGGTGCCCAGTGGGGTCCCGGGATCGATGCAGAACTGGACAGGTCCGCTTGCTGACCCTCGGGAAGGTAGCAGATGAATTTCCCCTCGAATGGCTGGTCACGCTCGCAGCAGCCCTTGGAATCTCGGCATCTGTCACTCCACCAAGCAAGTTTTAGTCAATTATTCAAAAAGCATTCGAAGCGTTCGAAGAAACAGCATTCAAAGAACGAGGTTCAAAAATCGAGATCGAGGCTTACGTGGCCGGTCACAAAGCACTCAGACAACACCAGATAGGTGCTCGCAAGCAGTCGCATATCCACATCATCACAACTATGGCCAGGTTGAAAGTGTGCGACAGGTGGCATTGTGTGACATCGTGCAATTTCTGGATCATCACAACCACTGCCATTGTGTACACCTCTGTGCATACACAGTTGTGGAAGCACCGCTATCACTACTGCTATTCTAGCCCAAATGTATCATTGTGTTGTTTGGAGAGAACGTTCAATTTTCAATTTTGCTGTCTTGTTTTTGCATTTATTTCATTCTTTTGAGTTTTGTGCTGCTGCCATTGCTGTCACTATTCTGATCACGATAGTTGCTACTAGGCATCATATTTTGCAAGAATGGCCATTTCTGCAAGAACGAGTCACACCTGCTTCTATTGCCGCTTCGCAGCCACTCCTCTGAGCATGATTACTCTGATGTCACCATTAGCAACATCATGTTGCATTGGCAGCATGGTGTTGCTAACATTAAGTTATTAACTTATGCTAAAACATATTTGCAAACATGTATGCTCACATGCTAACATACACGCTAATATACATCATGTTGCTAGATCACGTTGCAAACAAGTTGTCATAGATGACAAAGAACATGGCGTTTTCCATTGTCAGAACGGCCCTCACCTGCCAGTCCAGATGCACTCGTACTCCCCCTCCTCCAACACTCCCCCCTCCGTCAGCCGCAGGATCAGGTCCGTCCGGAACCGTCCATCTGCACAGCTCACGTTCGAATCAATCACCGCCCCGTCGGGCAGCCCCACCAGACAGTGAAAGGCATTCGACAGCCCCACGCTTTCCAGTATCCCCACCCTGCTCGCCATCTCCTCCTCCCTTGCCACCGCAGCCATTGTCGATTGATCGCAACTCAACTGAGTTGTGCGCTGCAGCCCCGTTTCATTCGCCCCGGAACCTTCCCCAACATTCACCTCGGCGTCCCGCAGCAGTCTCCCCACCATGCATTCGGTCAACGCCGGTGGCCATGAATCCACGCACGTGTCGTTCCGACACCGGTATCGGAACACAGCGGCGCCTGTTCCTTCACGGCGTTCTGGAGCGGCCACTGCAGTGCAGTTGTTCACGTGGCCGATCTGGACGCAGAGGTCGAAGAGCTGGCCCACGGAGCTGGCAGGAAGCTGGTCAATATGGCAGGTGGGACTGCGGGCCCGGTGCAGGATGGCACCGAAATTGGACACGCCTGCGTTTAGAAGGATCTGGGTGGCCTCCGTGGCCGTGAGCTCGCCCTCGTCGTGGCTGTGCAGGCTGCGGGACTGGGCGGCGCCAAAAGGGTCCTTGGGAGCAGGGGGGAACCGGTGAGTCTCAACATGGGAAAATGACAGCACAAGGACCACTACTTTACAGTACTCGCTTGTGCCACTTTGTCCTCAGAAGGAAGATAATCAGTATTACAATTAATATACTATAATTGCAATAATTACAATTATTCCAACAAATAGTAACTGTATGATGATGATGATGATGATTATTACTATTATAGTAATTCTCAATATAAGTAGTAAAGTTAAATTGATTATTAAAATTTAATAAACTTCAATACTTAAAACTGAGTAATTGCAAAGATAAAGCAAATCAAAGAGTTGAGGTAAAGCAAGTTCGTTAATAAGGGATCCTTGCAATGGGGATCCCTTGGTACGAAAGTGTGACAAAAGATCCAACCCCGGCCACGCTAAGAGAGCGGGTCACAAAACTCAAAGCGAGAGACGGTGCGTTGCTAGGCCGATATCTGTCGTGAAACCTCTGTTCTAGTGTTTGCTTTTAGCAGCCTTTGGCACTTGTTTGGTAGTGCTTTTGTATTGGGACGCTTATTACTATTGAGAAGATGGTGGCGCAATCAAATAACTGGGATTGTGCTACACACTAGTCCTGCACATGTTACATTCATGTAGCATGCTGCTGGTGTGTTGTACATGGCGCAAAAGCACTTCAATGTTGTGCCGCCAGTCCATTCAAGCCTATATTACTATTTTGGGAAAGTGACAAAAGGGGGTCCTCTCCGAGGGTGCAAATGACAAATGGAGGTCCACTGACCGCCCCCCTTACGTTAGGCTTTGCCAGACCAGAGCCAGACTGGTGTCAAACTGACACCATGCCAGCCCGGCCTGGGGCCAGACTGCACTGCGTTCCTACTAGGGGCGACCCCTCTGGGTGGGCGCCTCAGCGATCAGGTTGCGAAGGGGAGTCGCAGTGATCGGAGCCGCAAGGACCAAGCAGCGAAGCGAGCTGCTGGAGAGAGCACGCGGCGATCAGAGCTGCAGGGGAGAGCAAAATGGCTATCGGTGTTACAAGGAGAGCAAGCAGAAATTGGTGCTGGGGGCAGAACAAGCGGCGATCGTAGATGCTGCCCACAACTTTGAATGTTCTGGTGTGCTTCTTGTGGCCTGATAATTCTGTTTGTCTATGAGCTTTCTGAAGGCTGAAGTCTACAAAACACAAGCTTTCGCGAATGCAGAACACCACTAGGGCATTGATTTTGTAAGATCTCCTTTGTAAAGTGAAGTCATTGGCAGCATCTAGTTGGAAAAAATGACCCCTGAGTGCAGAAATAATGCCATGCCGACAGTTTTCATAATTGAGTTGTGAAAAGCCACCATACAGAAAATGGCCAGGCTGCCATTTCTGGACTTGCCACGTCCTGCCAAGTCCGATCTTGCCAAAACAAAATGCACTGCATGCACCTCATTGCATTATAACAGGCACCAAAAAATACGACCTTGCCCATCGAACAAGCCCATCAATCACAAATCACGATCTTTCTCAAACAATTCTACAACCTCCCGAGTCAGGAGTCCTGACCCTTGTATTGAGCGATCGTTGTGTCTCGATCATCACTTATCATAATGGCAGAAAACTCACCAAAAAGAACTTGTGATCTGAAAAGAGCATGCAGCCATTGGGCTCCATGCATACAGATCCAATGCAAGTCAGCTTTGTTTCTTGAGCACATGTTCAGAAACTCAAGCAACACTCACCCCTTGGTGTCATGCAGGTGAGCATGCATGTTTTTGGTGTCCCCAGAATGATCTATATGTGCAGAGAAGCTAACGATTTTGAAAGAGTGAAGTGCTTAGGCTTGCAAGCCATCTCTTCAGATTTTGCACCAAAAGCCGTTCTTCAATGGCTTTTGCAGTGGCAACACAATCAGGTCATTCCTCATAAAGATTCATGTATTTTCATGGAGACCAATTGCATTTAAATGATACAGGGCAGGGGGCAGGGCAGGGGTGGTAGTTGATACGGCCCTGCGAAGACCCCACAAACCCCACAACAACCCCAAGAAGGAAATTGACAGAAGGAGTCTTCTACTCCTAGTAGGACCTGGCTACGGACCGGCGCCAGCCTGGTGCCATCTAGCAACATGTCTAATTTACGGGGTGGTCAGAGGACCCGCTTTTGTCATTTTCCCTACGGTTTTCTTACCACTGATTGGCTACATTTCATTCATTTATTGATAACGACATTTCACACGAAGTGTTTCATTTGCACCCCTCAACGTCTGACAAAAGCATCAACCTGTAGGTGCCTCAAGGAAAGCCAAGAAAAGACCAGAGAACGAAACAAAACAAAAAATTACCTGCACACTGTCGGAAAGAGCTATGGCCGCATGCACCCAACTGCCCAACAGGACGATCCACAGTGCAGCCCCGGACGCGCCCAGTCGCATGACGTCAGCTCTGCAGGCCTGCAGCAAAGGGTCCCAAATGTTGTCTTACTGCTTCGCGTTTTCCAGGAGCCCCATCGCTCAGTGTCGTGTATCACGTTGACAATAAAAGGCGGTTATTTCACACTACTCATTTCGGTGTGTAAGTTGTGTTAAGTTGGTGAAAATCGTGACTCAACAGTGCAAGCAGCTTTAGGAATACTGCCAAATCATCTTGTATACACAGGGCCGTCTTTGCATCACTTCCCACCGGCGATGCGTGCCGACATGTTTCCAATGGTGCTTGCAGAGCGAGACTCAACTTCATGTCGATGCTTGCGCACGGCAATGTATCTCAATCAATTTCACTCAATTGGTTCGATTTCTATTCCGATCCCGATCCTGACGTCTGTCTCGTCGTCCAGTCCCATCCCCCATCCCGATCCACCTGTCATTTTAGATGATCATCTTCATTTTCATGTTCATTGAGGGTCCCAATGCCGGACAGCGTTGACGAGGCAGGCAGGGTCGAGCGGTGCCAGCCCCTGAGGGGGCCGCGAAGCCCTGAGCACACGGCAGCGGACTACAACGGAGCGAAGTCTCGCTTGGAGCTCCGCCCCCTGAAAGCACCTTGAACTAACCTTATGCAACGTCATTCCCAGACGAATAGGTCACTCACCGAACAAAGTTAGTGGTAGAACATATATTAAACCATTTACCATTCACACCCTGACCGTTGCACGCTGGTCATCGGGGCATAAAATCGGCCTTTCCCCTCTTGGTGAGCCGGGGCATCGCTTCCCACCCCACCCCGCCTTGACCAGCTCTCCCATTGCGTCTTGCATACTTGCGCGTTATGCGCTGGCGGAAGTGTTGAGTGGTCAACGGCAAAGTCAATGGACGGTCAACGATGTCTGCGAAGCGGGGGGAAAGGGCGAGCCACGGGCGTTGCGGGGGCGGCGGGGGGGAGGGGGGCGTGCCGGAAAACCCCCTGGGAGGAATTGACCCAGATGTCTTCCACCTCACCTTGCCGCTGAGTTCCCAACGTCCTGCCCGCCAGCTGATCTCGCGTTGGGGCGTTTGCGCAGCCGTGAGTCGACCCGATTTCAGCGGCGCAGATTTCTTGCCCCCTGCCAGCAGATGGATGCCGGGCTCGGTGCCAGTGGTGGGGCGGGCCTCTCCAGCCCCAGCGAGTCGCCCGCGGCGAAACGTTGGACGAGCGTGGGCGACGAGCGAGGGTTCGGCGCTGCCCCTCTGCCCTTGGCCCTGGCTGAGCTGGGAGGATTCTGCCAGCGCCGGTCACGGCTGAGGGGAGACCTCGAGTACAACTGGGTGGCGGGCGGGGCTGGCGGGGGCCACACCGCCCACCGAATGCATTAGGTAAACAGCGGCGAACCCGGCTTTTGGAAGGGCACGTTGACGGGCGGCCGAAGCGGCGCGATAGTATCGATACGGGGATGCCGTATGGGATGCCCAGTGCTGCCCCGCCGTGTGACTGTGGCAGTGTCGTGATGGGCGCGGGCGTGCCCGTTTGATGGCTGTGGCTTCAAAGCCAACTGTTTCTGCTATGTGGGGTCCTCTCCCTGCCCGACAGGCACGCTGGCCAAGTGCGTTAAAACCGTTTTCAGCAGTTTTCCAAGGTGTAAACATTCCCACTGGGCAATTAACGGCCATGGCGCCATGATCGTTAAATGCCCATTGCGGACGCCAGCATGACCGTTACACTCAATGTCTAGTTAGCATCTCAATAAAAACGAAAATATCTAGTCCCATTTCTTGATGCCTCAAGAAATTCCCGAACTCGATCTCGCACCTCCAGTAACGGGAGAAAGAGTCCGCCAAGGCGTCCGAAAGAGCACAAACCTGCGCTCCCTTTCACATCCATGCCGAGATCTTGGCACTGTACAATGCCGGAAGGACAGAGATGCCAATGCCGCTCAGACTGAACACGACAGCCGCCGCAGGGCCCTAGAGTCCAGCACCCGTAAGCCCTAGCAGCGTGCTGATGCTGCAGGGCGCCCAGGATCAAGTGCGGATAGCTTTATAGCACACGCAGGTGACAGGTGCGTGGCTGGCAAGAGCATGGTTCGAATCAACTTTTTGAAGGTTTGCAAAATGGCTTGAGTTAGTGCATTCAATTAGGAGACAGTTGGTCCCAGGGGAGGGCGACCCTGCGATTTCCCTCTTCTTCCATATCAGATGCCAGTTTCACGTTCGACTTCGTTCTGATATTGTGTATTTCCATTTCCAAATGCGTCCCTCTATTTTCGGACCGAGGAAGCAGCATTCGATGTCTTCAGTGCACATACGTTTTGTCGTGCCTTTTATTTCTGTTGCCTGTATACTATATATATGTACGTTTATTTCAGTGCTCTTCTACTGTGGCTCTCCCAGGCACCACTGTTTAGTGCTCAATCAATTCAAGATAGTCGAGCAGTTACGACGTACTGCTTCCAAGGTATCATCGCTCCAACGCCAATCAACGGCCGCCGTCAACATGAGCCTGCCACAACATTCGCCGCTGGGCTCTTCTACGGACATCTAATGACCGCCAAAACCGTCCCTTTCCTCACAGACTTTTTGAAGTGTGAAATGTTGCCGAAGCTCTAGTCAGGGGTGCGAGAGAGGTGGCAGGAGGGCATTTCATGTTCAAATTGTGAATTGAAATTTTCAAAAAGATAAATGTGCACAAGCCCTCAGTTGCGGTGGAAAACAACGCGGATTACACAATCCCCTCGCGCTTTTTTGGCAGGAATCACCTGTGCTTTCATGCCAAGGAACTGCTCACTTGTTAACTTGCTACCTCACTTTCTTCATTCCTTTGGGGAACTGCACTTTGCCTCAATTGGTTTTCGAAAACTGCACTCAACTGCCTTACGTGGTGATCGCTGGCGTTGAGACGTCATCCCTTCCAATGGGCAGATCTGCTGTGATGGTCGTCGTTGGCATAACGAGATCGATCTCAACCATCGTATCAGTATTTTGTCGACGATATCGGCGACTACGGTGCCCGGAAGGCGCGTTGTGCTGTTGTCACACTCCACTCAGTCTGGGACCCCAATTGTTGACGGAATCGCGTCCTGAGTACTGACCATTGGCAGAAAGACATCATTCATGATTCAACGAAACGGATGGGTGAAATGCTCCAATGATTTGACACTTATTCAAAGCGGTCATGCAGCTGCCTCATACCCAGTTCGACGCATTGCCGGACCAGAGCCATTTAAAGTCAAAGCAAACGCTGAGTGTATCGACATGGACCGGTGGCAAAGCGCCGTTGTTGTCAACTCCACAGCGCGGCCAAAACGGCATCCACTCTCTGATCTGCGCACGAAAACAGCACCGGCGACCGGCTCATTGAAATGAACCTCTGAATTGTCTTTGAGTACAACAGTTGTCCGTACTGCGCCTCTCGCAGCATAATCAATTGTGAGCTGCATAGCTCCCGCTGCACAACAGGCATGCAAATGGCCATTGCACACCATGGTGTGCCTCGGGGCAACTTGTGAGAACACAGGCCACCCGCATTGCCACACACTCCCCGTATAAAGCCCTACATCTCTTTCCAATTTGAACACACTTTCATTCCCATCATTTGCGCCCGGCCAGGCCGCTACCGGCCTAACCCACTGTAACGCTCGACATCGCAGCACCGGCACATCGAGCGCGTGAATGATCCACGCGCGACCAGATGGCTGATCCGTACAGGCTGCACGCCAGAAAGCTCCTTGGAAATTTCCAGGCTCCTTTTTGTGGCTGCGATGCAATTGGTGTGTCGTGGATAAGATGGCGTCAAAACGACCCTAACGTTCGCTCCGCTCACCACTCCGTGGACAGAATCAAATGTAGGAAATTGGCAGGACGGCCCGCCAAAATTAGGGTAGGCGCCCAGTGGTCTTCTGAGACTGCTGCGGAGCTGGATGGGTGCTCTTGTTGATGCCCGGCCGGGCAGGTAGCAGATGAACGCCTAGCCGCAATGGGAGCAGCCCTTCGAATCTCGGCAACTGTTATAGCTAATTAGTCTGCAAACGAATCTCGCCAAAATATTCGAAAAGAGGGTTGAGGAAAGATATTCAAACATCGAGATTGAGACGTCTATTTATGGTTAAAAAGTTCTCAGACAACGTCTATACGATAGTCGCAAAGCCAGCTACCTTGCCGTATCATGCGATTTCTTCATCGTCGCAACTATTGACATCATCATGATGCACATCTATCTACGTACCAAGATGTGCAGCACTGCCACCATTATTGCCATTCTGGAACCAGTGCATCACTGCATTGTGTCGAGGACAGATTGGCAGAAAACGGCCTGTTTCCGACGTCAACTGCGATGCCATTTTGACACAAAGTGCCATCACAGCGACTGCGACGGTATAAAGTGGCTGTGGTGGTATCAATATGCGTAAAATGGCGTAGCAATTAGCATCGCAAACAGGATGTTCTCTACTGGTGGCACTTTCGTCCACAGTCGTTTATTCTATTTCCGGTTTCGTTTCATGTTTTGAAATTCCTATTGTTAGTTTTCCTGTCATTATTTTGAGCATGGTAGTTGCTGCTGCAATGGGCATCCTGTTTTCACAGAACAACCATATTTTCCAAGAACGACCCTCACCTCCATCTATCGCCCTTTCCACTGCCGCTCTTCCCATCGTCATTACTTTGCTGTCACCATTAATAACATCATGTTGATAAGACACATGCCAACCCACATGCCAACACATATCATGGTGCAGCGACAAAATACGGCTTTACCATCAACATTGCAAAGCATGGTTTATTCATTGCAAGAACGGCCCTCACCTGACAGCCCAGAAGCCCTCGTAGCCGCCCTTCTCCAGCACCCCCTTCCCGTCAGCCGCAGGATCAGGTCCGCCTGGAAGCGCCCGCCCACGCAGCCGTCTCCGGCGTCGATCACCGCCTGTATCTCCACCCTGCTTGCCATCTCCCCCTCCCTCTCCACCACGGCCACCTTCGATTGATCGCACCTCAGTCACATGCCGGCATGGCCCACCACCTCCGAA